ATTTTAGAAGGTGGGATAGTCCCTTTAAGGACAATCGAATCTCTATCAGCAAGACTTTGACCGTAAATGAACGTTATGAGTGATGTAAACGGGACATCGACTATTTATTTTGCAGTGTCTACATAGAGCCTTTTGCCTGTGAACAGTGTTTAGTGGTGCCTTTGCTGAGTGTAGCATTGTGACTAACGGCATCGTTGTCTAGTTTTGCAGGCTGGTCTTGTCGTCGAGTTCTGCTCTGCCCTGACCAAAAGCCTTGGGACGAGGGGGCAAGGAAGAGACGCTCGAGATGGTGTCAAGGAGACCTCAAACCAAGCCAGCATGATGGCCATGCCGTACAACCAATAGGCGGCCGACCTGGAAAAGCTTCGTGGCTCGGAGTCAACTCACACCAAGGTGGTGAGTATCGTTGACGACTTCCGTCGCCTCGCTGCGGTGCAGCTGATCCCAAGGTCAGCAGTTCCCTCAATAGAGAGCGTTAGTGCGGCGGCAGCAGCTCTCAAGGTCTCTGGGCTTTCGGGCAAGATGTGCAACCAAGTACTGCTGAAAGTTCTGTGGGACAGCATGGCAGAGGCCCCAGCAGGCCCCCCGCGACTTGTTTACTGTAGTTTGGTGGTCGTTGCGGAGTGTGAATTGGAGTGAGTTGTGGTCTAGAAAGATGGAATCGGGGACGAGGCGCTGGATACCCTGTTGAACTCCCTGGATGTCCCATGGAGCGTCATGACCCAAGAGCGCCCTGGTATCTACGTGAGGCTTGATGGCGTGTCGCGGTGGGAGATCTTGGTGGAGGAAGTGGTGGTGGTCGTAGCTGACACAAAGGGAGACGCGCTGCTGATGCAATCGGTATGTCAGTACGTATTCGGGCAGCACATGGTGTCAAGCACCAAAGCACTGAACATGTTCCTGGAAAAGACGGTGCTCAGGCTCAACACAGGTGCGTACATACCCGTCAGGACCAGGGATGTCATGAAGGAGCTGAAGATGTGAAGATTGTTCTGTCGTGGAGCGCCGCTGCGCTATGCACGCGTTTGAGTTAGACGTGCCTATCGCCAGGCGCAAGCCTTTGCATCTTGTTCTGTCGTCGCCGCCGCGCCGCCGCGCGCTGCGCGCGTTCGACTTAGACGCGCCTATCGCCAGGCGCAAGCCTTTGCATCTTGTTCTGTCGTCGCCGCCGCGCCGCCGCGCGCTGCGCGCGTTTGACTTAGACGCGCCTATCGCCAGGCCGGCGCAAGGTACCCGACGTCGTGTCTGTTGATCTGTTGATCACTTTACATTTTTTATTTTTCTGTCGTGGCGCGCCGCCGCGCTATGCACGCGTTTGACTTAGACGCGCCTATCGCCAGGCGCAAGCCTTTGCATCTTGTTCTGTCGTCGCCGCCGCGCCGCCGCGCGCTGCGCGCGTTTGACTTAGACGCGCCAATCGCCAGGCGCAAGCCTTTGCATCTTTCTTGTTCTGTCGTCGCCGCCGCGCCGCCGCGCGCTGCGCGCGTTTGATTTAGACGCGTCTGACGCCAGGCGCAAGCTACCCGGCGTCGACTACGATACAGAGCTACAGCGCTACCAGGCTACGATACCTTTTCATCCATAGTTACCTACCTTTAAAAAAAAGAGGCCCCAGCAGTGCAGCCATACTTGAACGCCGTCATCCGGCTATGGCTTATGTGCCCCCCAGAAAGCGTGGTGGAAAGCATGGCCAGCGTGGTGGGGGATGTGTTTGGCACGCACCAGCTGGACCATGCGAATGCCGCCAAAGAGTTGGTTATTCGCTGGAATGGACCGGAAACCACGAAGGCTGATGCAGTGGTGAAGTCGGCTGCCAGCAGACTAAACAAGCGCCTCTGCGCGCAGTCAGCGGGCAGTCGCCTTAAAGGTAGTGTGCCACCTTTGAAAGATTTCCCATTTTATTTTTCCTAGGATAAGAAGCTTCTGTTTTTACCTAATATCGCAAAAAAAATCAAAAATGGGCCTGGAATAGTGCCTTTTTCGCCTAAAAGTTTATCGGTTTTTAGATATGTATAACAACTGTAGTGGGCTCACCTGCAAACAGGCGTCGGGCAACAATCGCGAATGCGGCGCACTTTTGACAATAAGCAAAGGTCATTATAGTGTTACGACCATACGACGTACGGGAATGAGTTATCAGCTGTCTAATCGTAGACAACACAATGTCGAGCCTTAAACTGTAAGCCCGTATTGGTATTGTTTCTTTTATTTGGCTGTCGAACATTATTTATGGTTTGAAATATGATTTTATGTAAAATAATTGATATGAAAAAGCCGTCTTATAAGTTATGACCCAATTTCACCACACGCAAGTGGCAGAAATGACAATGATCAGCTGACGCATTTTTCTTGGCCGAAGTCAGAGCGCGCAGCCCGACGCACCACCACCGCACCACAAAGTATGAGCAGAAGCCGCGCCCAAAGCCAGGGCCCCGGTAACGTGAGGTAGCCGAGTCGGGGCAGCGTGCGCTGACCCAAGCCGGGGCCGCAGCTTTGGGCGCGGTCTACCGCATCCCCGCGGGCAGCCCCGGGCTATCACATGACACCGGGAGGACGCGAGGCTCCGGCTTGGGTCAGCGCACGCTGCCCTGACTCGGCTACCTCACGTTACCGGGGCCCTGGCTTTGGGCGTGGTCTACCGCACCACCTAACAGGCGTGTTCGAAACCGCAGGAGCTGATGATGAACGGGTTTATCGAAACTTGATTGGATGAGCATATCGGTAATAGCGATTTCAGTGTGTGCATTTATTGTTCATAGTGGTGTGAAATGTGGTTGGGGTACGACCGACAACCCGTCGGGGCGAATTTCGCACTGGGGTACTCAAAATTTGAAGAATTTAAGACGTTTCCATGAGTTTTGAAGGTATGGATAAGTTCTAAAAATCCGGTTCTCCTTATCTGGGCCATTAACTCCATACGGTCCAAGAAAGCTGGCACACTACCTTTAAGAACATGGTGGGATCGGTGATCGCCAAACAGAAACGAGCCACGTGTCAACGCGCGTCGATCTTCGAGTGAGCTGTGGCGCAACAACCAGCCTCAGATGAGCCATGCGAGCAAGTACATGTACTGAGCTGTTTGTGCCCTGTGTAAAAGTTTATGCATAGCATGTCCAACACGCAGCCCTGGTACCAAGACTGATATCGACACCTTTTTTTAACCCCACATTTGTTCTCCCGTGAATTTCAGACAAGTTGGTTAGAAACTTTCAAAAAAGGTACAGTCACTCGATTTTTCTCAAGTTTGTCTTGGCAGATCAAGCAATGCCAGAAGAAGTATGCGAAAACACATATTTGATCAGGATCGGACGATCGGACACTTTTAAAAATCACGGGAGAACAGATATGGGGTTAAAAAAGGTGTCGATATATGTGGTCATGAAGTACTTTCACGGAAGAATATGTTGTAAATACTGCCTTATATTTGTGTGTGAATTGTTTGTGCTAATTGAGGTAAGGCGAATGCATATATGTCTACGCTCAATGCAGGACATCGATTCCGCTCACATTGGTTGAGGTTCCGCTCAGCTTGCTGCAGTTATGTGTTATCAACGTGACTGTTCGTAAGAATGTTTAATGTTTTGGTCCTGTTATTTGGAATGTCACTTACTGTCGTAAATCGTACGGTTGATGTTAGTGGGGAGCAGGAACCGACTTGCTGCAAATATGAAAATTCCTGCCGCTGCATCTTTTTTTGTAGGGGCGTGGTTCAAAGATGAATTTACAACTGAACAAAGCCAAATATATACATCACTGACCCGGATGTAACATCCAAATATCATGTAGGGACTACTTCCAAAGTTGACATTTTCAGTTGACAGTTATTACACTTGCCGGTTACAGCTGACAGTTTGTGCACCACGGGCTGCTCTGTCTGAGCGCCTCGGCTTCACCCGTCGGACGACCACGGCCTACCATCCGTGCTCCAACGGACTCGTGGAACGTGTGCACCGCACACTCAAGACCGCCCTCTGCTCGGCGGACCCCATCCACTGGGTGGACTCGCTGCCGATGGTCCTGCTCGGCCTCCGGTCTGCTCTCAAAAGCGACCTCAGCTGCTCTTCGGCAGAGCTGGTGTACGGCACTACTCTCCGCCTGCCTGGCGACTTCGTGGACCGTTCTGCCACTGCCCCGCCTCTCGATCCGGCCGCCTACGTCGAGAGACTTCGACGCGCCATGAGAGAGCTGCACCACGTGCCCCCGCGCAGCCCCGAGCGGCCCGTGTACCTGCCGCGGCAGCTGCGTGACGCCTCGCACGACTACATTCGCCGGGACGGATACAAGCCGCCGCTGGTGCCGCCGTACGACGGCCCGTTCGCTGTGGTCCGTCGGACCGCAAAGACCGTCACCGTGCTCCGGAACGGCAGAGAGGACGAAATCGCCATCAACCGAGTAAAGCCCACTCTCGTCGAGTCGTCTGGTGGCTCGGCGCCGGCCGACCAGTCTGTGCCGCGCCCCTCTTCTGTGACGCCCTCTGGACACCAGGGCCCTGAGCTGATCCTCCGCCCGGCTGCACAGCTGCCGTCTTTTGCGCGCCGTTATTGTACGATTTCCATTTTGTAAACATTCCGTCAAGTACTTTTCTTTTGTCGTTCTACATGAAACTCAAATCGCTCTTGCTCTGACTGTTTCCACAACGATATTTATTATGCCTCATTTTGTGTCCACAAAGTATTATCGTGAATTTATTAAAATAGCCGAACTGCCCATCTGCGCCTATTTTTTGCCTTGTTAAATGGTTTTTGTTTGGTAATTGTGGCAACGCTGTCGTTATCCCTTCTTCTCGCGCGCTGCCGCCTCGCGTTGTTGTCTTGCCGGCTCTGGTGTCATTAACGTGCGTCAGTTAAAAACATAAAGCTTTTCAATCATCTTAACTCTTTTTTCTGAGCCCTTAAGAGTAATTTGCGAACACGTACTGGCCGCTCACGCCAACAGTGGGGGAGATGTATCGTGGTGGCTGCTGTGGTCACACCCCGCTCTGTAGCCTGGAGCCGCCGCTGAGCCGGCGCCGGTATCAAATGCAGTCTGGGCTGTGGCCGCCCGGGCCACCGCCGCCCCGCTCGCTGAATACAGTTCTCGGCTGGTACTGGTGGCGTCTGCACCCTGGGGTTCATCAAGCCATAAGCAAGCACACAAACATTCGTCGGTCCCCAGCTGTCTCTCGCCATTCCATCCTCAAAAACGTCAGCCTCCCCCTTCACCACCACGCTTCGAGCCCGGCCCGATCTTGTCACGTGTCCGGTCGCCGCTGATCGCGAATACCTAGCGGTTCGCGGCACATGTCTGTCAGCTGCCTGTCTCAGATCCGGGCTCTCGGACCGCCGCCCTCGCCGGCGGAGCGGCAGTCCCAACTCCCGACGGTTGCGTGCCACCGGGGTGGTATCTGTATATATGTTGCGTCGGGCCCGTGTGTTCAAATGTATGGATTTAAGTAGCCCGCAAGGTGTAACCGAGATACAACTGCAGTGTCTACGCAGCAGCCGCCGCCGCTAACGGTGCCGTGTACGTATAGTGGTCGCGCGCAGTGCATTACGCCGTGCACGGCGTGTCTTGTCCCCTGCCGCCGCGTTTTTGCCAAGTCTATTAATACAGATGCATCCATCGATTCTTCTCAGCATTCTCCGTCCCGTGCGGGTGCCCGGTGCAGATGGGGTGTTGGGCGTTATCTGCACCCAAAGTGCATGACGGGTGTATAACCGTACAATACACAGACCCACATTCACCAGTCATGCATTTGCAAGCGCAGCGGAACGGAGAAATATATCACACCAAAAGTTGGAATGGTGGCCGTTTCTATTTTGCCTTTACTACAAGGGAGCTGCTTCCATCAGTTGAGTATTCCATTGACATGTGGCACGCAGCCAAAAACCTCGCCAAGAAGCTGCGAGAGGCTTCTGGGAGGCGAGAAACCAAACCCCTGGCAGCGTGGATAAGTCTATCAAAAACCACTTCTGGTGGTGCGCGCAGCACGCCGGTGGGAGCATGTCGCACTTCATGGTTAGTGGTTGCAATAATCATTTCCAGTGTCATGCGTACAATGTCAAAGGGAAGTTTACGGAGAGCATATGGAGAGCAGCATTACCTTCAGGAGTGTCATTATTAGGTACTAAATTTGGGCGGCACACGATATATGGACAAGTATGGGCACATAATGGGCACGAAAGGACATACGTGGTTTTATTAAATGTCGAATGATGTTTCACTGGAAACAATTTATCTTTTCAGGTCACGGTTTTCGGCTGAGCGTTGCACATGGCAATATTCCATTTCAGAGAGACTGGGCCATGTGCCTGAACCATGTCTGCGACGACCACGAAGGGGCCACACCGGACTCGTACGGGAGGCGCTGCTGGCCATGTGCCAGCACGGCCCACTGGCTCCCGAGCAGCTCTCCGCCGTCGTCAACGAGCGGCAGCTGGCGAAGGACGGCCCCGCGCACTGCACCCTGTGCATAGTGGTGTACGGCACCAAGACGATGAAGCGCGTGGATGGCGTCCTCCGCTCTCTCTGGTGGACGGGTGGACGGCTCGGGTGGACGGCTCGAGTGGACGGGTGGACTCTGGAGAGCTACCACAGCACCACGCTGGGGTACACCCCAAAACGGGTGTACTTCAAGTAAGTTGCATGTGCATAGGTATATACAAATGAGTGACTTTTGTATGCAGATTAATGACAACTTAACAATGTTTGAAACGTGCTTAAAGCAAATATTGAGATTGCGTATTGCTCACTTCAACAAATCAAGAAATGTTGACGAAAAACGTTCTTGTTCACATCACAGGAGGCCGATGTTCACGACCCGCAAGGCGATGTCAGTCATCGACCATGACGCGCACCACTATCGCCGGTACCTTCCGGACGCCGGTGAGAAGGAGATGTAATTTATGAAAGGTCGTATAATTCTAAATCAGATAATGACATTACCGTCAATCTGAATCCAGTGCATCAAACATTGCTATCAGTCGTCGTCTAACCTTCCATTAAAGAATTCTGAGGACAGTTGTCACCCGCTGGTAGTTATATCATAATGTCGCCATCATTGTCAGAGGGGTCGGAAACCAAGCATATATAAGGATTTCATGTTTTGTTCCAGGCTTTCTACGAAGTTCAGCTGAGCCCAGATGAAGCAAGTGCTCGTGAAGCGCAAGGAGCCGCAGCGCTTCACCTCCGCTTCGGATCTCCTTAGCACTGTGGTGGAGCAGCGGTGGTCCCAGACCTTGGCGAAAGAGGCGACGCCGAGCTCTCAGTGTTATGAGAACCCGGGGCGCGCTCCATCGGCAAGAGACAAGGTCCTACTAGTGTCGAAGAGAAGCACCCAGTCAAAGCTTTAAGATGGAAATGGTACCGGTCGCTTGCGGAAGAAAACATGGAGTCGTATGTGAAGCGAATTTCACCTGAAGACTACAATCGAAAAACGCCGATGAGGAAAATGAACTGTGAGACACTGCGTACAACGATACGAGAGAGCCGTTCGAAGGAAAGTGTCAGAAGAAGCAGCGAAGGGCTGCGCCGACAGGGAGGAGGCAGCCAAACTTGCCTTGATGACAGATCAGTCCCGCTGGCCGACTTGCCTTGACAGTTCAGTCCCGCTGTCAACTCGCCTTGTTGACAGTTCAGTCTCGCCGGCCGACTCGCCTTGTTGACGGGCCAGTCCTGAAGCTGCAGTAGCTGACTCGCAATGTGCGCCGCAGTGTCGATGGCTGCTCCATCACACAGACTGTGTGCGGTCGGAGACGGTTATCCCAGACCTGGCATACGGCTCCGACTGGGGGTACAGTGCGATCACCGTGATAAATCAAAAATTTGATTAATCATAATCAATGATTAAGCATATGATAATCATAAAACAAAACATGGACGGCAAGTAGGCTGGGTATGAGAAACACGAACACGAATTTCATTTTAGGCCCTAACTAGCCGATTGAAAGTGAATCAAGAAAAACTTCAATCAAGAAATGCAGCATATAGCATGCATTAAAAATGAAATCTAATTCTTATTCGCCACATACGCAATTGAGCTCTGCCAACCCCGCAAAAACACAACTCTGACACCAAAAGGTTGAACTCACCTGTAAGACATCGCATCTCCAGACAGATGATACCCTGGGTACGGTATCCTGAATCCTTCCACTCAGCGGTGAACTCTAGCAGACCACTCTGTCCTCTACAGGCCGGCCGGTCGGACGGACGGCGCTAACACTACATCCGGACCTCGCTCAGCTGTTCGCTACCCTCTCGTCCTGCCCACACTATCTCCACCGTAGCTGGCACTGTCCGACATCTGTCCGTCACCCTCGGCCATTTCTCCGGCACCATCCGTCACCGCTGTCTGCCGTCCAGACAGCTCTTCACTGGGCGATTCCCGGTCACGAGCTGACTCTAAATCTACACATACGGTATGATCCGCTGGCGGCACTGTGTCTGTCCTATCCTCTTTCCTGTCCTGTCCTTTCTCGCCTTTGCCATCCTCAGCCGGCGTTCCTTTATCCTTAGCCGGCCTCCCTCCACCTTCAGTCGCTATCCCTCCGCCCCCCTCAGTCGGGCCCAGTCGGTAGGTGACTCTGCTCAGGTAGAGGCCGTGCGGCGGCGCAGTGGCCGCCAGCGAGTTCCAACTCCCTTTGTCGGGGTTCTCCAGCATGTGACGCACGTCGTCCAGTGACATCTTGCCGCGGCCGCACGACACCAGGACACCCACAGTGCGGCGCACCTGACGCAGGGAGGGGACACGCGGTCAGCGGGGGTACTGTCACGGAGTTTATGCGACACAAGCCAGTGTCTGAGCACGGCAGGCAAAAAAGAGGGTGCTGAACTTAACTTCGATTGAGTGGGAAACGTATCTCAGATCCATACCTCCCTTAACCCACCTAACATGCTTCACTTTCTCGTGAGACAAATACGCATTCCTTAAACTGATTGCTTTATTCCTTAGACCAAGTTATTGACTGATTTAATAATAAACTATTCCAGCTATTGCCCGATGGAATCATCTACTAAGTTAGTGTTAAATGGCCATTTTATCAGATGCGCAGTGAGCCTCTGTCGCCCACCTGTCTGAAGAGGAAGCCCTGGCTGCGAAAGTGGATGTTCCAGAAGTCGATGTCGGGGCTGGGCACGGCCGTGCCGCCGGGTGTGATTTCGATCTGCAGGTCGCGCAGAGTGCGCACGTCCTCTTGCGGCCGGTTCTGGGAGCCCATGAACGTGCGGAAGTCGTGCTCGCCGCTGAGCAGGGCGGCGCACTGCCGCACACGCGCCAGGCAGAACTCGCCGCTGGAGGAGGATCAGAAGGCGAGCGTCATGCGTGGGAGTGACGGGGTGGGACGCTGTGTCATCATCATTTATAAGCTTATTGGGTTCGCATTTTATTGCGTTATGTTATTTGATTCTTTTCGTCGTTAGGTTGTCTATCAGAGGCATAGGCGTCGCCAGAGATTTTCGGTTGGGGGGGGGGGGGCAAAATCAACTTTTGTGTTAAAACTTGCCTTTCCCCAGTCTTTACTCACTCGTTTTACATATCATTCGACGCGCAATGGTGCGAGGAATCCGATGGTGACAAAGGTTTCCTTCTAGCTATGACATGTATTTTTTTACAGAAAAATTTGAAATTTTGAAATTTCATGACAAAAACGACTGGTAGAATTATAGTACCTATATAGAGGCTGCGATTGCCGACGCACTGCAGAGGGCTCCTGTGCAGACGCTCGACGCTCATGATCATTACCCAGAAAAAGGTGAAAAACGCTCCATTTAATCGGATCATCCTGCTAAAACCTCCATTCACGCATGAATGCAGAGGTTTTACGTGAAATGCATTGCACTTATCTCAGCCGCCGATCGTAGCTAAATTGGGCATTCGGCGGAGAGTGAGTGTCGGAAGTGTGAATCGTAAGTAATTCATCTTTGCTCCAGTGAGAGGAAGTGTTTTGTTCACTCGAGTGTGAGCAAAAGTTTCTCGTTTTTCGTGTGAAGGGAAGCGCTGCAAACGCGAGCAAAAACTGTTAAACGGAACCAAAAGTTACACACGGCATAGCGGCAAGGGATCCCTTAGAGATAGGTTTGGGACTTCCAGGCCATTTCAGGCCACTCAGGGTCAGTGCTGACTCTCAGAAGCATGCTTAGGATCCCGGAGATCGGCGTGGGTCACCTCAAATATTTACGTATACGTGACGTGGGGCCCTCAGAAGCCAGTGTGGGCGGCGGGCGCCAAGAGACTAGGCCCAGGGTGAGCCTGGAGCCCTCGGATAACAGTGTGAACCCTCGGGGTCTGTGTCGAATCCCTAAGGACCCTACGTAGGGACATAATAAACATGTGTTGCGGACCTCAGAGGGACACGTGAGCTGTGACTCCTCAGATGCCGGCTTGGGGTTAGCAAAGTCTGTCGCCTCAAAAGTTTGGCTGAACTATCAGAGGCCAGTTAAGGTTCTCAGAAATGTTCGAAGGCTCAAAGATCCCTGTTTGGGCCCTCGGATAACATGGACACCAGTGGGACTTTCAGAGGCCGGTTTGGGCCCTCTGAAAGCTTCTTTAGGGCGCAGTGGAGCTCCTCAGAAGCCTTTGTTTAAAGCAAGCTCATGAGCCCTGCGACACTCGTACGATACTTGAGCCTGTCGCAGACATTTGACGAGAGTTGAGAAAGGCCCCGAAGGTTTCATTTCACGCTTTGAACGAAAATTGTGTCAGCACTCCAAAACTTAGGAAAATCAGCTGTAAGATATAATAAAGAACGAACTAGGAACATGGAATGAATCACAGCATTGACATTTCCGAGTCTGGACTCGGAGTCTTGAAGATTTTGGCGACTGCGAGTCAGACTCTGGTTTAAACTGCACGCTCCAACCGAGTCTGACCTCACAGGCATTCTCAGAAAGGTACCCCCATTTTTTCCTGACTCCAAAATCTCATCGGATCTGTATCGATCTCAGGGGGTGCCCGGTCCGAGGTTGGGGGGGGCAAGCTGCCCCGCTTGCCCCCCCCCCCCCGTGGCGACGCTAATGATCAGAGGATGCGGCTACAATGAGATGCAAATCAAAGCATTGTTTTGAATTCGAAATTCATCAAAAACATGCATTCGCCTGACAATCCAAAAGACAATACAGTCCTTGGCCGAACTTGACGATCATTAAATATAAATGCATCAAATGGCAACCCGTGCATTCCTGCAGAGTGAGCTACAGAGCGTTTGTTATTAGCAATGCATTTGTCTGCGTCTAGGCGAATACCCTCTAGTAGTAAGTACCTCCTCCCGCCCACACTACCCCCTCTCGGCCTCACCCGACCACGTAGCTGCGGTAGCGTTCTCCAATCGGAGTCAGCGCCCTGACCGTCCTCCCGTCACTGCCGTCGGGCCAGGCGTGGTCCCGTACCACTCCCAGTCGGTACAGGTACTCCCGGCCGGCGGCCGAGTACCGGGCGTGTACCGACTCCGGGACCGGCAGCACGCGGTGCACGCTGGCGTACAGGACACAGACGGCGTCAGGTGGGACGGCAGGGGCGTGAGACAGTGCGGCCAGCATCGCCCAAGTCGATTTTCCACATCCTACCTCAAACGAGATTAGCCACAATGCCACATCCTACTCCGGTAACAATGATATTACACCTGTATCCACAGCTGGTGGGCAACAGACAATGTATGCAAATGCATTTGAATGAGCAGCATTTGCAGGACTGAACAAAACAGCAAGCGCCAAGGCGAGTGTCACACACCAGACTGACCTAACTTCAGCCTTGGCTTTGTCGAAGTAGCGGTTGAGTCCGTTGCGGATGAAGTCCGGCTGGTATTTGGCGCCGAGCTCGTGTCGGGGATGGAGCAGGTCACAGTGGCCGCTGCTGCTCAGCGCATGCACGCCCGCATCCGTCCTGCCATCAGAGAGGGGTGTGTGCTAAAAGCTGCCAGTGCTCAGGACATCTGAGAGCAAAACTCACTTGTTAAAAAAAAATGACACCAGCATAATAGTTGTAACATGAAATGCCAAATATTATTCATCGTCACAGAACACCCTTCCCTCAGATCCTTACCGGCTGGACAGCACGAGGACAGGCGTGTTCAGCGGTTTGAACCGCTTCAGGGCAACATTGAACAGTCCCTGGACCGTGGCGCGGTCCTCCAGCTCGCCCATACGGCTAGCACCCGGCACTCGGGGGAGAACATTGGGAGGCAGCTGCGTCTGTGCTCCCCTGATAAAAAGACGGCAGACATACAGGTCAACGAACAGCCAAAGCCATGTAAAACATTGTCATAATGCAGACAGGTCGGTGGAACACACGCATAATGAGCGCTAACATATGCCGAAACGCGATTACGGCATAGCTTGGTCTGGATTAAGAGGTCATTTTAGGTCAATTGGTCATTAAGGTCATAGGTCAATTGGGTCAGGGACAGGGTAGTGAAATTTTCAGGATAGGTGTGAAATTGATCAACTCGAGGATAATTTAAGTTTCATCGCAATCCACCACACTTTGCACCAGTTATTAGCGGGAAAAAACGAGAAGACCCAGTACCCACTCCCCCCCCCCCTCCAGTGCGAGGGTTGAGACATTCACTGGAAGACAGCCTTCAGCTCAACAATACCAAGTTGTATAATTCCTGTGCAGTGTCCCAAAATTACAATTGGCTTGGGTGTCAGAGTGGAAAATTCGAACCCTAAAACGCTAAGGAGAGTGGGAAATTAGAAGGAAAATGTGAGACATTAATTTCAATAAAGGAGGAAAACGGCACTAATTACGAGGGAAGTTTAAAAGTACATTGCCCGAGTTGGGATTTTCCACCGTTTTATTCCAAAGAGACATTTGAGAGTGGAAATTCACTTCGAAAATCATTAGTGAGAGTGGAAAGTTATTCACCGTTGGGTGTCATCTCCCACCCAAATCAACAAATTTTGGGACACTGTTCCTGTGCATGACATGATGCTTCAATATAATGAACTCACCGAAACCTTGTACCTATGTAGGAGAAGAATATAAGATACCTCTGCATCACTCAAGTCTTATTATCTTGAGTACAAGAGCCTTTTAATCAAATGAAGCAGAACAGCCAGACTGCTTCAAATGCATACACATGTGACCAGCAAGCAGCTTCTGTTTTGTTTACCTGAAACAAAATCAGAAAAGACAGTAGTGATTTAAAATAGATGGAAAAGGTCAAGCATGAAACTGAAAATGTGGGGTAGGTACAGCTAAAATGGTCAACAGAGCAAGCAAACACATCCACAATTACCTACTGCAGAGCATGACAACTGTTGAAGATGACTGCTTAAAAATGAATACCATTCATGCAAATAATAGCTTTTTCTCTGTCTATGTTGTGCCAGTCCCAAGTGCCTAATGATAAATCATGATAAAAGCACCCAGGAGGTGTCACTCACAAAGCAGGGCCCTGGCATTTAACACAAATTCAACAACAGTTGATGAAATACATTTAAGTTTTAACATTCTTCATGAACTTGCTTTAGCCTTGAGCAGCAGCAGTATTATAATGCAGCATTATGTAAGGTAAGCTTTCTTACCTATTGCATCTGTTTTGCAGAACCTTTCTAAATTGGGAATTTTGATCAAGATAATGTACTATCAAGATAATGGCTATTATCTGAAGTGGTGATGAGAATGTCACTAAGTGAGAATGAGAGTATGTTTAATGCCATATTCTTGCAAGTCATAATGCACCCGTTTTCACATATTTAAAAAGAAATGATAAGCCAGCTCAGTGTGGACTCAACATTTTGATCCTGTTACGTTACCAGACATCAATCTTATGATTGTCTTACATAAGACCTGAAAATGAAAGGCAATTGAAATCATGAAAGAAGCAATGAAAGTTTAACTACATCACCTGCAGTAACTTGCAAGCAGTGCACATGCACAAAAAGATTAAAACATTATGAGTTCTGACCCACCTTGACCCCTTCAGGTCCTTCACTCAGCAGCCAAGAACTGCTCTAACTTAGCTACATTCTACAGTAATCTATAACTACCATACCTTATTGCCATGTCACAATTGACTTTTGGATCATCCCCCTGTAATTGGAGCTCTTCTAGCTGCATTTTTCATGGTTCCCCTTCAACAACTTATGGATTTTAATTTTTTCATGGGTGCCCCCCCCCCCTGACCCCTGTGTAGGTATACCTACAAATAGAAATTACTATTATAAAACTATGTTTAAGAACTAAAAGCATCCACAAAAGTGACACATGAAACTACAAAGATTATATTTGCATTATTATCCATATTGAGATCTACTCAAGTTACAACTCACAACATATAGGTAAGTCATAAGTGTCAACCGCATTTAACCCTAATTTCTAAAGGAAACTTTTCACTTTCCTCAGACTAATTTTTTCCTATGGTTTTATGATTTTTTATGCTTTAAAACATTAGAAGACAAAATAATTAACATTAACAAAGATAATTTTAAAAATATTTTCATACAGAATTTATTCCAGATTTGATAGAGGCTAAAATTAAACAAGTAGTGTTTGCAGCAGAAGCTTGTTACGAGTTGACCAATCATTAAAGTATAGTTCAAAACAAACTCCATGCTGATTGGCTGATGCTCGTCTCTGTGACAGGTGGCTGCATTCTAGACATTCTTCCATTGGACATTAACTTCCTGCATGAGGCACTGATTTCAAAACAAGGGATGCAATCTTTGAATAGGGGTGATCATTGGGCCGTAGGTAACTCCTGATTTGTGCTAGTCTCAGCAGTCAGCAAAAGCTACAAGTCAAAACTGCTATTCTAGTTAAAAACCCAAGTTAACAGTATTATACTTCCTTTCAGGGCTGCGGAGTCGATGGATTTTCAGCGACTCCGACTCCGACTCCGACTCCGGCTTTCAAAAACCAGCTCCGACTCCGACTCCGGGCAGAATTGTCGACTCCGACCGACTCCAACTCCCGACTCCGACTCCGCAGGCCTAGCAGGGCTGCGGAGTCGACAGATTTTCGGTGACTCCGACTCCGACTCCGGCTCGGGTTTCTAAAATCGACTCCGACTCCGACTCCGACTCCGGTCACAACTGTCGACTCCGACCGACTCCGACTCCGACTCCGACTCCGACTCCGCAGCCCTGCTTCCTTTAATATAAGTTTATTACTGATAACTTCTTGCCACTAGATTATGCTCATGACATTTTTCACGATTTTTTTTTTTATATTACACGTCACAACCAGTCGGGGAAACTATGGTAAAATCTGCTATTTTTAGCAGTCTGCTATTTATAGCAGAAATCTGCTAAAAATGGGTACGCATGTGACGTCATCGTACCCAAATATAGCAGATTTGGGTACGGCCCCATACAAAAGCAGATCTGCACCCTAATTGAAGCAAATGCGCATCAAATGCCTGGCAGACTCATGATGAGAATAGTGCTGAGAGTGATCTCTGCTATTTTTGTTCAGATCCGACTATTTTCAAATTCATTATTTGAAAAAAGTCGGATCTGAACAAAAATATCAGAGGACATTCTTAGCACTATTCTAATCATGAATCTGCCAGGCATTTGATGCGCATTTGCTTCAATTAGGGTGCAGATCTGCTTTTGTATGGGGCCGTACCCAAATCTGCTATATTTGGGTACGATGACGTCACATGCGTACCCATTTTTAGCAGATTTCTGCTAAAAATAGCAGACTGCTAAAAATAGCAGATTTTACCATAGTTTCCCCGACTGCAACAGCTTGATAAATGCTTTATAAATTGACTCAAAAATATGCAAGACAGAAATAATGCTGATAAATTGAGCTCAGACAGGACTGCAAACTTTCTTCAGTTCGTACTTGTCCTTAATTACTAATTGTGCCATAGTTATAGGTAACAAAATCAAATTTTGAAATCCTTTCAGTCTCTGATGCGAGACAAAAAGTTTATCACCTTGACCTTGCTCGAGATATCTTATCCCAATAATAGCTGAACCAGCTGTATCATAGGTACAGAAGACATCTATTTCTGTAAGTTATTTACCTATTACTTTACTTTCATGGGTTGTATACCTTGAGCTAAAAAACTGAAAAATGGCGAAGCCAATGCAAATGCAGCGTCCAGCACCAAGAACAGGCCCATGTCGTCCCCTATCTCCCTGTGTGTCCAAGTGCACAGATGACGTCACACGAAGGGGCGGAGTCGGGGGCAGAGCCTAGCGCAACGGCCGCCATATTTGAATTTGTTTTATAAGAATGTAATCTTTATTTTAGCTTTCAGTCAATTGTTATCGATAGTTTAATGAATGGTTAGCTGTAATATAAGTGATTTTTTAAGAAAAAACACATATTCTGCTTGCAATTTCGATTTGAGTCCGACCCGCGCCTAGATTCGAGCGCACGACCTTTGGATCACGGTGCAAGCATCCTAACCACTACACTACCGCGGCGGCGCAGCGGCCGGCGGAAGGTAGGCTGCCGAGGCATGGGGGCGTTTTTACGCATTTTCGGAAAAACTAATGGGTTTATTGAAAAACTGCTCTTAGATAATTCAAAGAAAAATGTCTCGTCCTTCCGATGATGCACTTAGTTTTGTGCTAGCTCCAACAGAGTTTGTTCGACAGTGCTTCAAAAATCGACCATTTACATGGGACTCCAACGGGGCTTCAAGACTTGCCCCCAGATGACGTCACAAGCTGACGTCACGATCAGGTAGAATCACCGGACGACCCTACCTGGTATATAGGGATAGGGCCTTGACCAAGAAGAGCACGTGGCGGCCGCGGCGGCGCGGCTGATTGCCGGTGGCGTGGCGGCACATTTGAATTCAGTGAATGCTACCAAATGTGCTTCCATTTCATAAGAAGTGAAGGTAATTTCCCTGACAACACAGGCTTTTCACTATGCGCGGTTGTCTAATTTTCACACAATATCCAAGACACCCAAGGCTACCTACCTATGTAAACACTAAACACCAGTAAAACGCCTTTTGGGCGACCAACGGAGCGAGCGAGAAGATGGGCCTTGCACGTGCGAAATTGCGAGGGGGTACCTCCAACTAACTTGTGCACTGCGCCCTATCTAACCGGTCTTTAGCGATGTGCCAAATTTCAGCGCAATCGGCCTAGCCGTTCTCGAGATCTGGAAGCGGCACACTGCACGTGCGCACGTGCAAGCGGGGTCCAAACTGACTTTTGCACGGCACCCTTCTAACTGGTCCCCAACCGTGTACCAAATTTGAGCGCAATCGGCCCAGCCGTTCTCGAGATCTGGGAGCGCCCTCTGCACGTGCGCACGTGCTGTAGCACCCCAACCTTAACACATGCAGATGAATTATCTGATGGAGACCTAACTGTGTACCGAGTTTCAATTCAATCGGCCCAACCGTTGTGCCGTTATTGAGGTTGCAATTTTGGGGGTTCTTAAAAAATGTCCAACTTTACCACGCGCCACGTGCGGTGGTTGGCAAGAACGCATGGTGGCCATCACACCACAGAACTTTTACGTCCAAGTGACATTCAGTAAAGAAGACCGCTTGTCAATCGGATGTCCCGTTCCTAAGATATTAGCTTTTGAAAAGCGTCCCCACGGCCGGCCGGCCGGCCGGCCGGCCGGCCGGCCGGCCGCTCATACTCAGGATTTTCCCTTAATTCAGTATGAGACTCCGCTCGCTTCGCTCGCTCCGTAATTACCCCACGTCCCCCGTCCCCCCGCTTTTGACGCCCATGAAAATAACCCATAAAACATGTGTCGCATACCCACGTATGCGACACACGTAGCAGAAAGTGACCTACCGTGACCTTTCGTGACCTGACCTGACCTTGACCAGTGCTTAGTATGACCCCTATACTCACATGGTACATATCTTCACTAAGCCTTTGAGGTCATTTTTGGTGAGTTTCGAGCAGGGGCTATCGATTACGTGTCCATTTAACCCTATTCCTGGCGGGCTCCGCCGGGACAAGAAACTGGCGGGGGGGCCGATTCGCCCCCCCCCCCCCCTTCAGATCTCAAAAACTACACATCGCAGCGACAAACGGCGAACGGCGTTTGATAGGTCGTTTAAAGATCTACAACTTTTACATAAAACATTTTCAGGTCAGGTCAATATTGAGGTCACCAGAGGTCATCAACGATAAAATGTTTTGGAATTAGTTACCTATATAACTTTTAAACTAAGAAACATAGAGACATAAAACCAAATACCAATACATTTTTTGTTGCTCTCGCCGAGGCGATGCGAAATAAGTATGTGATGACCTTCACAGGTCAATTTAAAATTTGACCTGAGGTCAAGGTCAGGTCATTCATCAACGAGGTTGTGGGGTATGGTCATGCTGCATACCAAACGACGCGCCTTGACCAGGCGAGCAGTTTGGTACCACTTACAAGTCTTTAGCACCATCATGTCGTGATTTATTGACAGAAAAACGATTTCATGGTGTGTCAAAAGTGGAAATAGCCGCCCGGCTTTAGTTCGCCAGCCTTGTCAATAGATGGCAGTACCACAATATGGGCAGCGGATCGTGCAATTGACGTCAAATTTTCGTTATCTGCTAAGAATTGAATGGCCGATCTTTTCATGCAAGAATCATGTAAATCGGTCCACAACTTTTCTAGCAACAGAGATATGAAGTCAAACACCCTGCCAGAGCGGCGGCGCGCGGCCGGCGGCGGCCGTTACGCGCCGCCTGGGAGACTGGCGGCGCTGAACGGTTCCGACTTGGCACTGCACTAAAACCTGTTAACTGCTTGGAATGGTTATTATAGCAAAATTTTCATTCAAGTGAGGGATAACCAAGGGCAGGAAGTATGTATGCTTGTGTGCGTACTGTGTAAGCCAAGAAACTGCATTAGCAGATACTCGCTAATATTAGATCCAGCCAAGTCCAAACGCATTCCAGGGGATGTGTTCCTGATGGGTCAACAATATTTATCGTTCGAGGGCGGATACAGTTTTAACAATACAAATAATATTTTTGCACAACTCTATTCCTTGAATAATTCTCTTCAACGCCTCATTCCTAGTTAAGCGAATTAGCCCACCCTGGCTGAATAAATAAGGCGATTTCGCCACAAGGTCGCGGAAAACCGACCGAAAGCGGACGCGCTCGGCGTTAAAGGGACCCTCCCACCTTCAAAAAAGTTTATGAATTGGCATGAAAGTGATGTCGCTCGGTTCAGAAAGAGCGAAAACGAATATCTACCAAATTTCACCGAAAAATATTCACCGGTTTTCAAGATATTAGACTTTTACTTTTGTTTACTTTTTTGGGATCTCCGCTGTTTCTAGCGACTTTATTTTAGAAGTGCGGCGTTTGCGGCAGATGTTGCGCGCAAATAGCATATACCACCGCGTGCTACAAAACGTTTTAGTCAAACATTTAAAAATCGTTAGATATCTGCGCTGACGTCACACATTCAGAGGGGTATTCCTAAGCATTAGCCCCTCTGAATCAAAATGCTGCAATTTTGAAATTCAATATTTCCGATTTAAGGCATTTTTCGATGTTGTGAGTGCCGAAACCGGTAATTGTGAGCCAGGGACCCCATTTTGGCTATCTCAACTCAAATCTAATGTTAAGGTGGGAGGGTCCCTTTAATTTGGGCATGCAGACTCTTAAAATACTCGCATTGGGCGGGCAGGGTTTCCCAGGTATTGGCTCCAAAAATCCGTATTCGGCTACCGAATACGTCCAAGTGACCCGCCTCGTTCCTAGTTAAGCTCTAATTAGATCAAGTAACTCATAAGGAGCGAAAAAGCGACAAAAAGCATGAATTTCCCTATGGCGGCGGGCTGCCGGGTTGCCAGACGGCGCACCGGCTATTTCCACTTCTGACACACCATGTATGACGTCACATGACCTCAGATGACCTTTGCCGGTGCCCCTGTCAATTAGCGGCACCAGGATCATCACCGATGAGATAATCTTCCATAATACTGAAAGAACTGGGTGGTTTTGACTCGTTTACACGAAGCAGGAGGCGTTTCAATATTTCCCCATAGGCTTGCAATGTAAAGGTCACGAGTCTGGCCTGACCACAGGTCACAGATATGAAAATTCTGAGGTATACAACTTGCACATACTGGTACCCTAACTAAAGCCTGAAGAGAAGAAATTGATCGGTCAAAAACTCTAGCTCTGGCGTGATTGCAAACTTTTCTGAGGTAGGGTCACCAAACCGCCTCTGGTGACCTGACCTGAGGTCAGATCAACTCAAATTTTTCAGAAATGTTGCGTAAAAGCCTTTTAGAAAAAGTCAGAAAATTTGAGCTTCCAAGCTCAAAGCGTTTGGGAGATATAACCAAAAAACCTCAGGGGGGGCTCCTGAGGCCCCCCCCCCCGCCAGGAATAGGGTTAAGCCTCATCATGCAGAAACCCCCCAATTTGACCTTTGACCCGACCTTGACCCGAAAGTTGACCTCAATCTTAAAAACTTTAAGTGCTTTCGGAAGGTCTCGTAGAGACCTTTCGAACGCCGCCTCGCGGGGCTCGATATGACCATTAATGGTTCTCAGGATGACAGGGGGGGGTCGGATCCGACCCCCCCCCCCCCCGGCTGTCGAGTGTCGTGGGTACGGAAATAGCCCAGGTGGTGGACTGGTGCCGGGTGAAGCGCTAGGTAGGCAGGTATATCAATATGCTGTCACTGACATGTCATCTAAATTGAAATGAAATAAAGTGGCGTTGTTAGGCAATAGTCAGTACAAACTACAAACCAGTTCAAGTTGCAGGTCGGAGCTCCCGCGTACTCGCAGCTATCCGCGGCTCATTCTCGTCGACGACCCCTATAACCGCCCGTCCGCGTGCCGTCTGTCCTCTTATACGGCCTTGGTCTGTCCGTCCTCCGCGAGCCGTCGACCCGACCGCGGTCACTGAACGCCGCGGGCGCCTCGTTCTCGCGGCAGCCAATCAGGGGCCGGCGGCCGCGCAGCAACTGGCTCGGTCCCGGGTGCCGAACCGGGCCAGTGAACGGCAGCCAACGGCCAATAGTCGCGTTTACATAGCATTTTTGACGAGGCTCTAGCTCATCTATTTTGCGATAATTTCGATCTAGTATATTTAGAAGGGATCATTTTGTTAACAGGCGCGTAACCACCACTGGGGACACTGGGGACCGGTCCCCAGTAACTTTTGGGATACTGCAGGGACCGTCCCCAGTAAAACCGACGATGTCCTGAATTTCCTTGAAAAGCCAAATATTGTCTCTAAATCCACGTGAAGAGTAATATGTAGTCAACGGAAGGTAAAACTATGAATGTTTTGTTTAGCCAGCTTTCGGGTGGGCCTCTCAGCCAACCTCGCCACGATGGAGGGGAGGGGGGGGGGCTTTTTGGCCACACCAGGTTATCTCGGAAAGTAAGCAAGCTAGAAAGGTACAGTATTTTTCAGAATTACCCATGTCATTTTTTGATGAGGCCATCGCTGAGGTCTTTCAAGGTCACCAAAGGTAAAATTTTAATGAGCCTTTGCTCCCAATTTTGACAACTTTTCACAAATCGGCGCATAAGTCAGGAACCAATAGAGCTGCAGTGCTGCGGGAAAGCGCATTCGATAGCTCTTTCAAAGGTCTTTCTGAATAATGCTCTCAGATTTTACCTAAGGTCAACGGTTTAGCTTCCAGGTTGGCGTTTTTGCGGAAAAGGTTTTTGTGTAACTTTTGACTTGTTTCATGACCTGAGATGACCAGTGGCATAGAAGGGGTCACAGGTGCAATTTTCTGATTCATTGTGTCATGTTTACCTGTGTCACCTTGTTTGAATGTGTTTTCGGCCAAAAGAACAGCATTTCAATTTTCTCCCAATGACTTATAATGGATGTCCCAAAATTGACCTGACATTTTGCGGTCCCGTAGCTCAGTTGGTAGAGCGTTGGACTCCGCTTGGTGAGAGCACGCGTTCCCGGTTATAACAGTCAGGGTTCGAAGCGCGACGAGCGCTTGACATGGGCCTTCTGATAGGTATGGTTGCGGTTGGTGGCAGGCCGTAGCCAGGCGAAGTCAGTGAGGGGACCGGCCGTGTGCGGCTATGTGCGCACGTTAAACTTTGGACTCTAAATACTGCCATAGAACTGGAATCGCGCGATCGGAGGGTAGAGGGCAGGGTCACCGCAACAAGCTTCGTTTAGCGGTGGCTCTGTCCTTGTGAGTCCTTCCTATCAGAAGGTTCGGACTAAAATTATTAAAAAAACATTAGGTCACCGATGTGAAAACTTTGAGATATACGAATTGTTCATACTGATTTCCTCATGCAAAAGCTCGAGTTTCAAACTTCTAGGATGAAACTGTAACAGTGTAGTAATGACAGTCATTAAGTTTTTTGGAGGCATGGCTACTTTACTTAACCTGGTGACCTGACCTTAGGTGACCTGGGGTCAAAATTTTCACACATGATGCGGAATTGAGGCATCATAAGCTAGGTATACCAAATTTTGCAGCGGTGCGCGCCGCGGTTTTCCTTGCACGCGCAAAAAAAAAAACTGGCGATTGTGGTCAGAAACACCCCTCCCCCCACTCGGGGGAAGGATGATCCTGAAATATAATATTTGGTCTTCGCGGCCCTCCATGTGGTCCCCAGTAACTTCAGACTCGTGGTTACGCGTCTGATTTTGTAAATTGTAAAACACCATTGGCATCTCTTGCAACAAAACGGGCGGAGCTATACCTAAGCTTGCAACAATTCCTATGTAAACGCGGCTTCGTGAACTTCGGTCAATTTGACGGCATTAAACGATATCTGCTGCTGGAATTGGTTGTGTATGGACTATGGAGTGTTTGACTTGACGTCAAGTCATTCTTACCAAAAAGAAAATGGCCGGTTGCAATTATTTCTAAGCCTAAAATGTGCCCATGATTTTCACAAGGAATGTTAAAACAACACTATTAATATCAGCTACTCTGATATTTTTCACATTAGCGTTTTTACACTCTTTTTTGTATGAATGTTGAAACTTACAGGTGACTTTCAGCATAGGTGGAGAATTGTGCTGAGGCGAGTTTTACCAACTGAAAAATAGCCGCCTGCCGGAATGTTTTGCCTAAAGACCGCTTCATGTACGGAGCGCAAACACGATGGGCACGTAAGCGGATGGGACTTTACCGTTTACGCTCCTTATGTGAAACGGTCTTCAGGCAAAAAAAAAAATCCAGCAGGCGGTTTTTTCTGTTGGTAAAGCTGGCCTCTGGACTATGCGTGCTCGAGCTCTCCCAATTCCACGCTGGTTTGGCTTTGGAGCCGCAACAGACGGCAAAGGTCAAGGTCACTGCTAGGGCGACGGCCGCGTGCGGCGAATTTGCTGCGCCCAAGCACCCATAGACCGGCACACTTCTCCACCTATGACTTTCGGACCTCGAGATAACCCGAGCTCAAACTTTCAGGTTGACCTGTTTAGGTCAATTGATTCGACCCAGCTCGACGAGATAAAAGCGATGATTGTAAGAGTTAAATAGGTAAGTACATCAGTTTTAAGTGGAAAGTGATTGCAAAACAAATATTTCGGCAAAACTCTTCAATTGTGGCGCTTTTCATCTGCTCTGGGCCACACCCTCGCAGTGACCCGTGGTGACCTGAGGTCAAATCTGGCCTCTGGGGGCATTTCAACGAAATAATTTTGAAAAAGCTAATAAATGCACCCGTCGGCGGCGTTCTACATAAACTCATTTGGTCAGCGAATTAAGGGCTGGTACAAAAAAAAATGTCGAAATAGGGTCAAAAAAGCTGAAGCTTAAGTTTTAGGTACCTATGATGACCTCTAACGACCTAAGCGTTGACCTGAGCGAAAAATGACCGTACACTTCACAAAGAACCCACTGAGAGTTATCAGTTGTTTTTTGGCATCTTTCTAACATTCTTCATTTCTCAGATAATCGGGTGTGGCCAAAAAAAGTCTCCCCCAACCCCAACCATAGTGAGCTTTGCTGTGCACTGCACACTCCAGCTCGGGTGAAATGATAAATTTAGTTACCTAAGTGTGGTGTGCAAACAAGCAGGATTTTTATTTTAACCTTCGCCCCAGTGGGGGGGGGGCATATGTTACCACCCTGTCGCGTTTTTCGCGTGTAAATAAAAAAGCGCGGCGCGTAGCGCCGCGCCGCTTGGGGTAGCTTTTGGTACATCAATTTTGGACAATGTGTGAAATTTTTGACCCCAGGTCATGTCAGGTCAGGTCACCAGGTCAAGTTAACTGACCAAGCCTAAAAAAAAGTTTGCAATCATGTCCAGCCTGCAGTGTTTGTCAGAGAGGTTTCAAACTTGGTGGATTGCATGATGTTATGGCCGCCTACAATTTGTATATCTCGGATTTTTCATATCCGTGACCTAAGGTCAGGTCAGTGGCGTGACCTTACCATTATAAGGCAATGGAGAAAAATGAAAATGCCTCTAGATCCGTGTGTACACATGGGAACAGTCCAAATATTTCAGAATCACAATGATTTAGTCCACTCGTGATGACCAACGTGTCATTTTTGCTGATAGCCTCTAGACAGGTCATCTGAGGTCACTTGAGGCTACAAACAGTTTTTTGCCAATAACTCGCGATTGGAAAGAGATAGAACGCTGGGGATGGTCTCATTGTGTTTGTCTTGTTGAGACGCATCGACTGATATGCAACATGACCTTTTCCGGTCAGGTCATGACCTTGACCTGAGGTCAAATTTTCAAGTTGACCTTTCAAGGTCAAATTATAGTTCATTCGACGCGTCTCGGCGAGGGGAACACGATTCTGGCAATAGAAATGCCGTGGCTTTTTGTAGTCAAAAGTTATTGTCGAAAAACACTTTTCGTAAAAACAGCTATTTTTGGAGTTTTTGCCCTCTGGAGGCTAAACCGTTGACCTGAGGTCAATATTGATAATGACCTTTTCAAAAGAAGAGCTCAAAAGCTATCGTTTGCTGTCCCATGCGTTTTTCTAGCTACCATAGTTCCTGAGATAGCGGCATGTTTTCTGAAAAATATAGTGACAATTGGCAAATTTTGACCTTTGATGACCTCTGGTGACCCCAATATTGCTCAAAGGTGAAAAATGACCGAAATACTTTCAAACGTACGCATTGAGAGCTATCGACTGCTTTTTACCGCGTCTTTCTATCTCTCTTAGTTTTTGAGTTAGAGGTGGGTGGTAACATATGCCCCCCCCCCCCACTAGGGCGAAGTTGGCTGAGACCGCCACTGGGGCGCGGGTTAAATTTAGACGGTTCCTTATACCAATCATTTTTTCAGCAAAATGTCACGCCCAATGACCTAATAGCCTATGATTCAATAATAAACCTAATTTAACCGGCGCCCCGCTGGGGGGGGGGCAGAATCTGCCCCCCTCCCGTTTTTCGTCAATAACTTCTAAACGCATTACGCCAGCAACGTCAAACTTTCAGTACCTTATCATACATCAATTTAACACGTTCCCTGAAAATTTGAGCGAAATCCGTCGGATATTTTTTTTTAGAAAATGACGTTTAAGTGACGTCATGTCCGTCATTTTTCACCTCAAAAACGGCAAAGTTTCAAACGCCACTAACATCTTCATTTTAAAAGGAATCAAGACGTAACAAAAAAGTTTACACGTGATTTTACTTTGTCTATCAAATGGCTATCTCGGTGTTTTTAAAATTTTGGATTTTGGCCCATTTTTTCTTTTAAAAAACTGACTTCTTTGGGAAAATAGTTATAAAATCTTTTTTTTTGTGTATCAAAAATCGGAATATATGTCAGAGAAGTGGTCTACGTGCACCTACATATCAATGTTTAGAAGAATCGGTTCAAAAATGTGGTTGTTATTCAAAATGTTATGAGGTCACGACACACAATTAAAAAAAACGAATTTTTTGGACGTTATAAACCTCTTACGCAAACAAAAATAGCACCATTCGATTCGCCGTGAGAAATTGCATCAGATAGATACCTTTTTAGGTCTTCGCAGCCAACTTCAAAATTTGACCTCACTTGACCTGACTTTGACCTGACCTCGACCTGAATTTCATCCAGATGTGGTCCATATCACTTATTGAGTGTGCCTATTGAATTGTATGAATAAAATGACCCATAACACATGTGTTGCACATGCCCTTTTCTATATTTCGTTTTTGGTGACCTGACCTGACCTTGACCTTGACCTTTGCATCTTATTGTATGCAATGAATATTGTCTTGGTAGCCTAAGAACACGTTTTGGGCAATCAGTCTCAGTCCATTTTTCGGCAACTACGTTGCGAGGCCGATACCACTGTAGAAACTTGCATTTTGTACCCTTGACCTGACCTTGACCTGACCTCTGACCTACTTAAGCAAAAAATGGCTCTTAAGATCCGCGTTGTTGAGAGCTTTCGATTGCCGTTTTCCCCGTCTTTCTACGGCCATCGGTTCGGAAGTTAGACAGGGGGCAGAATCTGCCATTGTTATTTTGATTTCGGGACGCAATAGCAATATGCATTACGTGCATTACAGGCAGGATAACCAGATAATGCTAGTTAGCATTTTTCATATACCTAATCGGATGCTTTCCGTGACAATGTTGAAATTGATTGCTTGCCTGCAAAATATAGATTTTTAAAGCACAGTGAACTTCTTAATGACCTATGAAATCGGTTGTGACTCGTGCTTTACGTTTTTAGCGATATACAAGAAATACTGATCCTTATTTTTGCATTTGATGAACACTTCTGTATGTAAAATCCTAATACTTTTTGTGAAGACATGCAAAGAAGAGTGCGAAGGAAGCTTAAAAATGGCTCAAGGTAACAGTTTCAAAACAGTGTTGATGTGAGTTCGATTATCTTTATTTTCTACAAGCGGTACGCAGTACCTACATTACGTGCATCTTATCTTGCTATCACTCGCACCTCCCTACAGTTATCAGCGTCAGAATAATTGTGATGAGTATAACAATTCACAGATGGTACACGACGTCTGGTATGTGTGACCATTCACGGTGACAAGCTAGGCTATCAAACAAAACTAGCACCGTAGCATTCAGCCTTGCTAAGAATAAATTATAATGCGCACAATTAATTACCCAGAGATCCGCTGGCCTATAGTTCACATACATACACAAAAAGTCTGTTAATTACCACTAGAAAAAGAAACACTACATACCTACCTATAATTTACGGTGATTGAGTATTTTCGTGAAACTTTACTGAGACGCTACATCGCATAAACGACCACTTAAAAAGAATCGAAACACTTCTAAGAGCCTTTTCTGGATACGAACGGCCGTCTTTTTCGGCGATGAGCCATTTTCCAGAGAGAATGAGTCATCTTCCGAGGGAAAGTCTTCTACAAGCGTCGCAGACTCGAAGCCCCTGGATGCCGCCAACATCACTGTTGCGTAATGCTATTGAGGCTTCTTGCCTTGGTGGGGCACACCTTCACAAACAGCTCACACGATGGGTCAAACTCAGTCGGACTCCTGAAAATAACACAGGGCGTCTGGTTATCAAATTCATAGCACTAAAATATGCTAAAATACATACGGCATTTGACGCTTTAGTGGCATTCACCATTATATGAAAATAGAAAAATAAAAAGTATAGGTATTGTGTTAAATGTAAAAATTGCATATAAGTGCATGCATTTTGTAACCTAAATAGATGCACTTGCACACACTCGACGAGTACAATAAGCGAGTGTCTAGGGCAAACATGCCATAAGCTGTAAGTGTCCACCCGTGATCCAAGGGTCTTCACTGCCGATCGACGACTATAGACACGCCGATCGATAACAGCGTAGCAAATTAATCGATGGACGATACTCCCGTAATATCACCCATTGATCTTAACCACGTGCCACTGAGCGCCGACAGTCGCCCGCCCCTCGGTCCGGGGCGGCACTCACAGTTCGCTCCGCTCCTGCACCATCCTGTCGGCTCGGTCCTGCACGCAGGCCACCCAGGCGCGACAGTTGGGGCTGCGCATGTCCAACACCTTGACCACGGGGGTCGGAGGAGCGCTACGGATCCAGAGATGGGCGTCAGGGTGAGATGACGTCCAGTTACACACTCATGTCAGAGGTGGGATGGCCAGTGGCCACCGAGAGACGGCCGGTCGGGTGGGAAGGGGAAATGCTGCACTTGCAGGCCACAGGGACCTTGTTTCAAGGTACGCCGGGGCCTGACACTATACAAAATCTTGGTGCTCGGTTTGCATGGAAACTTATCAAAACTGCCATTTTCACTTAAATTCCTATGGAAGCCGGGCCCTGCAGTAGCCCAAGACAAAATGAAGAAAAGTGTCGAAGTAAATTGTACATTCTTAGCGAATATGCGGATGAAGATGACATCGGTCAGACTCCGATGATGATGATGATGATGATGATGATGATGATGATGATTGGGTTTTGTGGCGTGTCCAACCTCTGAGGGTTATTCGGTCAGACTCCAAGGGAATGACATCCTCCACCCCGACTCACCTGGGCTCTGGCAGACGGATGGGGATGACATCCTCCAGGCCCCGCCGGTTCACACCGTGCACCGCCGTCGGGTCACCTCTGGCCATCACCAGCTGAAAGCGGTCGTCGCTGACCGAGTCCTCCCCTCTGTACTGGTGCCCCTGCTCGTACCCTGGCTGGTACCCAGGCTCGTACCCCTGCTCGTCCTCCCTCCGGGTGATGGTATACTGAGCCGGGATCTGAATCTCGCCGAACAGTCCCCCGGAGGAAGCGGCGGCCTCCTCGGCCGCGTAGTGGCCGTAATCCTGCTCCAGCGTCGCCTCCGTGGTGCCCACCAGTCGCTCCAGGTACTTTTTGCGGAGCTCGGCGCGCTGCTCGGCTAGGAACGCCTCCTTCGAGTACGGCCCGTACAGGTAGCTGACCCCCATCAGCCCGTAGATGAGACCGGTCAGCGCAGCGCCGTACGTGAAGAATGCCTCGGCCGCTGGGGGTCAGCAAACAAGTGGGGGTCAGAGTGCACACGGGACAAGAGCGTGGGTAGGTCACGGGCAAGAGTAGGTATGTACGAGTAGAGCTTAGAGGCAGAGCACATACGGGCCAGCGCAAACGACCGGGGTTAGAGCACAGTTGGAACTAAAGGCTAGAACACACACGGAGCTAGAGCACAAACGGAGCTAGAGCACACACGGGGTTAGAGCACACACGGGACTAGACCAGAGCACTCACGGAGCTAGAATAGGTATACACGGGCTGCTCGTAAGGGGGCGGAGGCGGCGGAGGCTAGCACTCCAGTCTTGAGCCGGCAAATTTGACGATCGCTGCGGGATGATTTGTAGAACGACACGTGCTGAAATGCTGGATGTGCAGATCAGATAACAAGCGCCAAGCGGTGCAGGCAGCAGAACGTGCGCCGGATACTAATGAGCTGATCAGCCGATAAGATGGGCAAAATTGGACAGAGTCGCACTCCCGGCGGATCGCATAATTATGGTCGAAGTCTTCTCCCGTTTAAAACAAGCACTAGGTAAAGTCAAAGCAGCGTTTATTTGTATGAATTACAGTATACCTGCGCCATACATGACAATGTTGTGATCATGTATATGTTGCAGGCACTTTAGAAAATCAGTCATTTTGTAAAATGCCTAGGCATTTTACAAAAAGACGGCTGTTTGAAAAATGACTGAACGCAACCAGGCTTTTTTCAAAATGGCTAGCCATTTTACAAAATGACTAGGCATTTTGCAAAATGCCTGACCAGCATGGAACGTAGATCCCACTACAGATACTATGGCCAACAGTTTTTGGACGTCTTCCTATACCCTATAGGTACGTGTTCAGCCTGTAACTGATCGATTTGAAGCTCTGTGATAACGACAATGCTGAGTAACGACCAGGTTGAGTTGCAGACTCGGCTGTAGCATTAAGCATTGTTTAGTTAACGCTGTAAAAACTCCCAAGTACATCAACGCCGTTCATGTTCTGCCTGAAACTAGACCTAACAAAACCAGCCGGAGACCGGCCCTAGTCAATAGGCAGGCCCGGTTGATGTACATACAATTACATGTAAACGAATGAGTGTAGTCTTTGTTTGATTGTGCCATTACGGACAAAACTGCATTATGTATTTGGACATTAAAAACACGTTCGAATTTAATTATAATTTCCCACTCCTTCTCTCTCATCCTCACATTTTAACACGCGCAGTGGAAGGGGGGGGGCGGATTCCGCCCACCCCTCCTGTTTTTCGCCAATAACTCGCGCCGCAAAGTTTTCTTTAGGTTTTCTTCCTAACTTTTCTTTGGAATAAAAAAGCTCTCTGATCACAATGAATATTAAAGCAATAATTAACAAAACACGATTAATTTTGCTCTGTGGCAACAGCTTTGAGTACCTACTTGCATGGTCCCAGTTAAAAATATCAAGCTCCACATCGGGAGAATCATCAGGTCGCTTGGCGTAGGACAAGAGCGTTGGTTTCAGAAGACACTAACGCCTAAGTGTGTGGGATCGAATCCTCGCGACCTCTAATAGTTTTACAGATACAGGCCGGCATAGGGCCAGTCGTTTATTGACGCTTCAGATTGATCATTTTAAATCCAGCAGCGTCGCTGACGTGGGGGTTGGAAATGTCGCGGGCCTGCACTTCTCAAAATAGAGGTAGGTATGGACTTCCCACTGCTGGACTCCTCTGGTCATAATGCTGGACTCCTCGGTCCACCTACACGCTACCAAAACGTATATAATTAGGTACTCGTATCTACATCACACTGCTCAGTCATTTTGTAAAATGGCTAGGTATTTTGTAAAATGCCTAGGCATTTTGTAAAATGACTGGAGAGTCAGTCATTTTGTAAAATGCCTAGGCTTTTTGCAAAAAGCCTGGAAAATCAGGCATTTTGCAAAATGCCTAGGCATTTTACAAAATGACTGATTTTCTAAAGTGCCTGCAACATATACAAAGGAAAAGATCATCATCATAGCACAAGATCATTTCAGTGGCCAGATTTTTTCTTGTTCTGGTTCCTAGGCAATGCATGCTACATGCATAAGGTATAAATTCAGTTCCATGGTCTGCGATAAAAATAGGCAGAAAACCACCTACTTGTCACGAATGTCTCTTCGGATGAAGGTATGCATGCACCCAAAGTCATGTTGTCTTGGGATAATAATGGGTAAAAGAGAGAAAGAAAGAAAAAGAGAAAAATAACGGGAGGGATAGAGGAAAGAACAAGGAAGAGAGAGAGAGAGAGAGAGAGAGAGGGAGAGAGAGAGAGTGAGAGAGAGAGAAAAGAGAGAGTGAGTGAGTGAGAGTGAGTGAGTGAGTGAGAGGGTGAGTGAGAGCGAGAGAGCGAGAGAGAGAGAGAGAGAGAGAGAGAGAGAGAGAGAGAGAGAGAGAGAGAGAGAGAGAGAGAGAGAGGAGAGGTAGCAAATATTAGCCGTTTTCATTACGGCCATCTGGTACACATTTGGTGCAGATTAGGTTCAGATTTGGTGCAGACTTGGTGCAGATTTCGTCAAATTGGGTTCATTGTGTTTCTTGAAAGCTGTCAGTTTGGGCTGCACATGTTCTTACATACCCCATTTTCCAAATAATCTGACATTATTTTCGATTGCAACACTGAAATCAATTCATGATTAGAAGAAATGCATTATAAAAAAGCTTTGGTGCAGATTTGGTCAAATTAGGTGCATTCGCGAGATAGCCCGTCGTGAAAACGGCTATTTTGAAACGCTTGAAAAACCGGACATTCCAACTAGAATCTACGGAAGACATGTTATGTAGATCGTCATCACTGCCGTTCATGTAACGCTACATTCGTGACAACCCCATTCCACTCGCCACCATCATCCGTCACACTTGCCATGTCCATGTGACACGCCGACATGTGGGTTATACTCTATACGTCACTGCGAGCGGGTGAGGCATGCCGGACGCCGCGCTGGCGGTGGATTGACGGACTGGTGGAGGAGAGGTCAGTGCTCCGTCCATGTGGTGAATAGGGAATAGGCGTCTTCTAGCGGCGCCGCCCCCGCTGCCTTCCAGTGGAGGCCATGAATAGAAGTGCAGGAGGTGGCGTGAGAGAAATTGAGCGGGGGAGAGAGAGAGAGAGAGAGAGAGAGAGAGAGAGAGAGAGAGAGAGAGAGAGAGAGAAAGAGAGAGAGAGAAAGAGAGAGAGAAAGAGAGAGAAAGAGAGAGAGAGAGAAAGAGAGAGAGAGAGAGAGAGGGAGAGGGAGGGAGAGAGAGAGAGAGAGAGAGAGAGAGAGAGAGAGAGAGAGAGAGAGAGAGAGAGAGAGAGAGAGAGAGAGAGAGAGAGAGAGAGAGAGAGAGAGAGATGACGGGAAACTGACAATCAGATATGTCTACATGGAAAGGGGTGAAGAAGAGTGAACATAAAGTGTGGACAAAAGGCAGGCTTGAGGAGAATACAAATCATGGCAGCCATCCAGCTGGTAGTCGGGGACGGGTGAGGGTGAATTCCTGGACATGGACTCACAGAAAGACGGGACTCACAGACGGGTGAGCCGCGGCCGGAGTGGCACATGCTCTGTGACCTACCCAAGGAGGGCTGGCTGGTCCCGACTGACCGGCTACCAACACCCCACCCCACCCCAACCCCATCCCGCCCCACCGCCGCGCTCGTCCGGCTGATCCGGGAAACGGACCGGCCGGCCGGCCGGGCGGGGCAGCGCAGCACTGGGTCAGTCGGGCCGTCCGACGGCTTTCTCACCGGAGCTCGGAGCGTGTGCCGCCTCGTGCGCTCTCCCTCCCTCCTCCCCGCAGCGGGCTCTGCGGCCCTGAGACTGACAGGCCGAGGTGGTCAGGCTTTCATAGACTTTCCTTATTGCCAAAAGCCGGGATATCAGTTGCAGCAAACCTCAGTCGTCGGTTGGTTCTCAGTCTCGATCTCAGTCTCGACTATAGGGCCAGAGAAAAGCGAACCTTATGGTGTCTTGCAGAGCCGAATTGGACCCAGCGCTAGACATAAGCGTAGAAGCCGGGGGCCAGGGCGACATGGCATGGCATGCCACTTGATCTGGCCAAAATAACAGTTGCCAAAACTCTTAATATCAAATAAATACGGTTTGGTAAATTAATCGTGAACAGATGACCAGGGAACCGAAATTATAATTTTTCATCATGAGTAAGGTGTGTTGATGACGTGGTGAGAAGCTCAGAACAAAGCTTACGTAGCCCACCTGCCCCACACACTTTGTCTCAAACTTGTATTTTTTTTCTATGTCATCGGTCCCATCCCAGGCCCAATCCTGAACCAGACCCAGACAAAATCCCAAATCAGACTCACACCCAGACCTAGGCTAATGTGGGTCAAAGTGCCGATAGAAATAGGCTAGCCTGGAATGGAACGACCTGAAACCGTCACGAGGCTGCTTAAATTCGTTCATCAGACCCATGGGTCAAGATGCTCGTAAGATAGCATAACATGGTTGTAAAAACTCATCAATGTAGAAACTACAAGAGCAGGAAGGGAGCTAGACGTGAGATAAGACTGATTAGGAAGCCATCCCAACCAACAAAAGTTCAGACGGGATGCTGAATCCAAAACAAGACGAAATATGTCCACAACTTCAATAAACATAAAACTCCACTATTTAATAATATTAATGGCATGAAGCATAGCAACTGAACAATCGTAACTCTAGCCAGTGCTAGAATGAAACGTTTTACACCATATTTTATAGTTTTTAGGGCTTTCGCTAAGAAGAATAAGGCGATGTTATCGCATGTTTTGTGTCTAATTCATCTTTTTTATTTGTAGCTTATTTCAATGAATGCCACTCATTCATTTCTTATATCCAGTACCTACTATACAGCATACCTATTCATATTTGGCCACAAATTGCTCGCCATTGCCCATTACCTACATCCGTTGCCACATATATGACACGATGACACATATATGGCGACTGGAGCGACGTCACTGGTAGCCTGACGCGCCGGTGCGGCGGGCGCGGTGTTCTCCGGTGACCTATGACCTCACAGTGGTTCACCTCCCGGTGGTCACACGAAAAACGTCATTAGTCGGCGGTAACCGACTCGGCTGCGGTCCCGTTAGCTGTCGAACGGCTCCTCCTAAAGCGAGTTCTGCGGTAAAGCGCGATCGGTACTACATCGAGCCGGTCCAGCGGCCGATTTTTACACTGCTGACGTGACCAGTCCGGTCAAAACCGAGAACATTGAGCTAGCAATTAGCAGACACTAAAGCCCTGTGTAGTTTTAATTTGAATAATTCAATATAGCGAGTCTTCTTTGGAAGAAAGACGCTCGAAGCCTCATGGCTGGTACAGTGACTGGCCGATAATGACGAATGGACCATGTTACGGTCACAGTTCAGAGGTCAGAGGTCAAAGGTTGACCCGGGCCGCCTGACCTGGGAGGATCACAGCTGCCGTTTCCCGTCACGTTTATGTATGTCGGTCGGCTTCTAACGGAGTCCACACCGGCTACAATACTTCCCTGCTGACCTGGTGGGCCAGATTCCCTGAATAATACACATTACAAATAGCACAGGATTACATGGAACAGAACATACGCCCCACTGTATGCAGCTTAAATGCCGGCCTAAATGAGAGGTAAGTTGATGCCGGTCATAAATGAAAAATGGCCCGGCACACCCAACATATCTAGTTTGGCACACGTTAGTTACGGCCGAAGAGGACTTTGATACTTTAACTATTCAACGCATACAGAACAGACATTTCAAACAATGATGGCGTGAATGGTATGCACCATTATTGACAACGATCACATGGTGATCATCTTCCTTTGAGTATTCGGCGAACCACCAATAATACAGGGACTCAAATTCTTTACCTATCAATTTTGTAGAGCTGGAACACTTATAGAGATTGCCCGGTCAGGGAGACTGGAAGCGAAATGAATCCTAATTCAATATAGAAATGAATCGTGACTGGAGCCGACTGACAAAAGATCGGATTAAAGGCAATGCACGAACTAGGTACATACATTGTTAAATTTTAATTAAAAGTCACGCTGTGGGTCAACTTCAGGTCAAACGTCAAAACTGGTCATATTCACATTTGTAACTATAGTGAAGTCAGTGTCCTCACTCCTCTATAACAAGCCATTCTCCATCCTATATTAAGTTTATATTAAGCCCTATAAGTTCTATCAGTGGTTGACTGGATAGCCATTTGACAGAGTTCCTTGACCTTTTTTAAATGCTTGTTTGAAAGTTTTGAGATCGCACTGCCAAATACCATTTAAATTTAAGGATATTAATTACGAGGTAATATTGCATTATCTTACCGAAAGGTCAAGCAAGCTTCAATTAACGATAGCACCAGTAAAGCAGTTATTAAGCATAATCCCTTGACCAAGAGGCATTCTTTTACTCGTCAGGCATTATGGAAAGGCATGGGAAGGTATGCGCTGCAAGAACTCAATGAATCACGTGGGAACTTGCTGGTGACAGCAGATTGGTTTTGCAAAACAAAAGGACATTTTTGTGTCATGCCTACATATGTCCGGTAGTTTGGACACGGACCTTCGTGCATTATCTGTTACGCAAATCCAGAAGTGAAACTAGATGCCCTGATTTATAACTGGAAAATAAAGAAAATAGCTGGAGACAGCAGAGAGACCATGCAAATTCCGGGACGCATTTCGAGTTTCTCGCGGAGGGCTCCCCTTCGTGGCTGAAATGATTCTTTTACGTGAAACCATGATTCAAATTTCACTTGACGTAGAGTTATGTATGATGCAGTGTACTTTCTAAGTCTTCGGGCCAGGCCAGCCTTAAATGTCATATAAGCCTGACAGTTACGACCGCACCTGGAGCACATCACATGGATGCCGTCTGACCCATATACACCTCCTGATTGACCTTGACAGCGAGGGTGTCCGATAAGATCCCCGGGGCGGCAGCTACCGCGGGCCACTAGCGCGCACTCACAGCTGTTTCCGTCGTAGATCTTGCTCTGGGTGTCGCCGCCGGCGGCGGGACGACCGGTCGCCGTTTCTGTGCCGTCCTCTGATCCGGTTGCTGCGCCCGGCTGGTCGGCGGCCGTTTTTGCGCCGGCTGGTTCGGCGTGTGTGACCGACCGGTCCTGCTCTGCGGCCGGTGGTGTCCCCACTAGCGGGCCGGCCGAGACCAGCGCGATGAGCGCGGCGGCCACCAGAAGCCTCCTCTCGGCACCCATGGTGAACAGACAGTGGTCCGGGCCGGCCCGTCACCTCCTCCTCCGCCTCCGGAGCTCACCGTTACACCGCTCACGCACGGACTGACACACATCCAGACCAATCGGCCACGGCGCCGCCGCCGCCGCCGCAGCCGCCGGCGACGGCGGCCTTCAGGGCACCCATAGTTCAGACCCATAGTCCGCAGGGCGCAGATAGAGCGCCTCACAGTCCCCAGTGGATGGAGTGCCTATATCACAGTCCACAATGGACACTGGACAAAGCGCCTCACAGTAGATAACTAAAGCATCTCGCAGTCCACAGTGGATAGAACACCTCACACTCCAATTTAATTCAATAATTCGCGCTAATTTAATCAATTAAATCAAAGCGCTAATCTAATTTAATCTGCGGCGCTGCACCCTGTAGCCACCATTCAGATCGCCCTGACTGCAGTCATCTAGAAGCAGATCACCTTTGTCGTCTGTTATCAACTTCCACCAGTCACTCAGTTTTGCACGATGCACGATTAACAAGCCATTGACCGGTCAATGGCAGGTCAGGAGAAGGCAGGTGGTCGTGTTTGGTGACGACATTTTCAAGAGAGAGATAATCTCCGAAGGGATAACGGCACTGGCGCGTGGCTGGACCGACCGCCGGAAGTGGTCGGAACGACAAGACTGACCACCGGAAGTGGCCGGAGCATGTACTAAAGAACTAAATTTGGAACGAATGACACTATCATGAATTGGTCGCCTTCTAGCATCAGATAAGGACTAGAGATGTCAATCGGATACCAATTTTTCGGTATACCGACACCAAACCGATACCAACTTGGTATTTGGTATTTCAATCCTATTGTGTTTGGTATTTTGTTGGTATTATGAACCCTTACTAATGTATAAGAGGCTAAGAAATTGGTAATAAGTTGGTATTTCCCTCATCTTTCCAAGTTGGTTCGGTTTCGGTATTTCCCCACGCGGTTTTGGTTGGTATTTGGTTCGGTATCGGTATTCCGATTTTCTGTAATTGACTAATAAGGACCTACATTTAAAACGATTGTTCTCTGTAGATAAATAAAATGCAATTAAATCAATATTTACTATTAAGATGTGGCTCGCATGGACGGAGAGACAAGCGTTTGCAGGTTTAATTGGTTTTCTACATAAGTCCCGGCAAATGGGGCGTACGATACCTCATCCTTTGACTTTTCGCTGAGTCAGAGCCTTGCCAAAAAAGAGAAGAAAGTGCTGGCCGTTAGAGGACGCAGTGAATGGAGATGCCATGAAAGCGTAAATTAAAGAAGTATCAGATCAATCGATGACTTTGACAATCAGGACTCAGGTCAACAACCCAAAGGCCAGGCTCCAGTTTTTTGTTGGTATTGCTTCGGAAAAATGGTCATCGATCAGCATTGTCGGTACTATCGCACTTGTGCTATTTAGGGCCTTGCTGGTGCTGCCCAGACTCTTCGGGCGACATGATTTTCAGTAACGTGACGTCATATTCCAGTCACAGTGACGTCATATTTGACGCCACTTCAGGTAATTAATGCAAAACTGACAGCGAAGTCTTGCAAGTAGAGCACAAATATCAAATCACGATTGATAAGTGCTTGAAAAAGAATTAGATCATTTTCGGTGCTAATTATAGGCAGTTTTCTTACCTATTTCCATTAGGTATTTAGTAATACCTAATGGGAAGGTCACGTGACCGACCTGACCTTAAGTAGTGTTGCTGAACCATTTGACATGAGGAAGTTTTAAGGACTTCAGTACATGCTATTATCAACAAGATATAACCCGCGCGCTGATGGGGGGCCATTTTGGCCCCTCTGTGGTTTTTCTTAAATAGCGAGAAAACGGCGGCGCGCAGCGCCGCCAAATTCTGGGTACGGGGACCCGCAGTTGCTACTGTACACGAACCCCAACTTTAGCCGTCTGTCCTGTCCAGTAACAACCGATAACATTGATATCGACTGCCGGTACCTGTACAAGAGAAGCTGAGGTTTTCTGTGCGTGCCCTCTGACAGCTTACCGTTGTTCCCTGTGAGGGTGCTGGGACAATTTACTCAGGGTCGCTGTACAGTAGCAACTGCGGGTCCCCGTACCTTACCGGGCATCAATTTGACACCTTCACACAAAATTTCAAGTCACAGGTCACCTCGGGTCAGGAGTTATTGAGGTCAAACTGAGGTCATGTTCGAGTAAAAATGAGCGAAAAACATGACATCTTGAAACGCTCACAAATTCTACAGTTTCCAAGCAATTTTAAAGTTCTTTATGTGGTTGTGTAGAGAAAAGACGGCGCTACAGAACTGCCATCTTGGATTTTCGAAAGTCTGGGATTTTACTCCCCAAAAATAAAAAAATGATTTTTTTAGAAAAAACTCAAAACAAATTCCACAATTTTTTCGAATTTCGAAAAAACGGAATATATGTGATAGTCCCTTCGCTGTTCGATATACATACCAAATTTCAGATCAATACCTCTATTTTTGGCCAAGTTATAGCGAAAAAGAAACTATTAAAAATTGATGACGTCAAATTTTTGAACTCAATTTTTTTTTGCAATTCTTAACCACGTAGCGCAAAACGGGGACCACCATTGAACTCCCCGTGACGAGTTGCATCGAATCGATACCCTTTTTTTGCAAAAATATCAACTTTGAAATTTGACCTAATTTGACCTGACCTTGACCTGACCTTGACCTGACCTTCACCAAAACATATTCTCAACTGACCCCAAGGGCTGCCTGTCCCACATAACCGCATTTGGCATATAAAATGGACCATAAAACATGCATCACATTATATTTTTAATTTGTGACCCTCAGTGACCTGACCGCTGTGACCTGACCTGGTATCAGTGACCTCAAATAGCAAAATATGTGTTTGACGAACATTTCTCCATCGATGATTTTCAATGAAATGCATTTTACTCGATTTTACAACGCATTTCTTGAAATACCTGTAAACGGTGAAAATTCGACATTTGACCTGACCTGTGACGTCATCGGTTTGACCTAGGTCAATGAAGTTCCGTCAAAAGGTAGTTCCCCATTGGGGCTATCCAACGCCTTTTGCCGCTTGTCGCTATGTTGCGTGGTTCTCGAGATCCTAGGGGGGAAGGGGGGGCAAAAATGCCCCCCCCCCATCAGACCGCGTTGCTCGGCAGACCCCATCAGGGCGCGGAATAATCTTCTCGCAAAAGATCTCTGGCACTGAGCGATGCCGAGTTGTGATATCTGCCTTTTTTTGGTGTCGCACAGAGTTTCATGGATTGCATCACAGGTCAGTGACCTCTCCTGACTTGAGGTGCAACAGCAGATTTTTTTCCAAAATATTTGGCGTGATTCAAAGGAAGATGAGCGATTTTTCAGCGTTCTATCTCTGAAACGTTTCGAGCAATCACAAAAACAGATCCTCCTCAATATACCGCAAACTCCTGTTCGGTGTTACGGGCTAAACGGTCATTGCTCGCCCACGTTCCGGACAGCACTGCTTCCGCGTGTTCATCGAGACACGTGTCTCCTTCGTTGAGGTATTCGGAGCGGGGGGGGGGGGGGAGGCTCGGAGCCGGCCGGTGGCTGATCTGAGGCAGCCCCCCCCCCCCACTTCCGGTCGGTTGGAGCGAGCCCCCGGCGCCCCCCGGTCGGCCAGTGGTGCTTTCACTGCTGTCCGCCGCCGCTGAGGCCCGCCGGGTTGTAGGATGGACGGCAGCAGCGGGACCGGCCCGACCCGACCGGGCCGCGCTGCAGTGACCTGACCGAGTCCGGAACCGGACGCGTCCGGTCTGCCCGGTCCACCGGCCGCCTTCACCGGACACCGGGGGCCTACATAAGCGCCGGCGGCGTCCAGTCGGCAGTCAGAGCCGCACACCAGCTCAGAGACGGCCGTGGGTGCTCGCCGGCCAGTGCAGACCTCCGATCGCAGTCCGTTCACACACTCAGCATGAAGGGAGCCCTGCTCGTACTGCTCGGCGTGGCGGCGGCGGCCGCAACGCCCGCTGCCGACTACTCCAACGAGATCAGTCTGGAGATGAGGGAGTGTGAGTGCCTCGAGACGCGAATGGTGGAGATGGGACGCAGTGCGCAGTGCTTCCCAGCTGATATGCATTTGTGTTCAGCAAGAAACTTTGGCAGTGAAATGCTTTACAACTTTTCTATTGATCTATTTTGGCCAGCCAAGTTGCCTTACCATAACGTATAATTTCAATTTCTCTCGCAATGATCTCCTTTCCCTCTCTGCTCATCCTGCCGCCCCAGTGATATCTCTATAATCTGACGTGGTCCGTCTCCGTCCGCCGCCCCAGTGATCTCTATAGTCTGACGTGGTCCGTCTCCGTCCGCCGCCCCAGTGATATCTCTATAATCTGACGTGGTCCGTCTCCGTCCGCCGCCCCAGTGATCTCTATAGTCTGACGTGGTCCGTCTCCGTTCCCAGCCCAGCTGTTGTCGATCGTGGAAGGCGTCCGCCAGCTCTCGCTGCTGCTGAGAGAGTCGTGGAACACCGGATCGCGTGCTGCCCGCGCCTTCACCAGTCAGATGAAGCCGGCGGACATGGCCCGCGCCCTGCAGGAGTGAGTGCACCGCCGGGCCCAGAGTCCATCCGCTTCGGCTATGAAAGATTAAGAGCATTGGATCATGCATCTTAAATGTTTTTTCAAAACAGAACATAAAATTAAAAAATGAACTATGATTGTGTTTGGAAGATTAAGACCTTTCGTCAGGAATAAATAATTATCATGCAAACAAATAAATGTCAATGAACTGTTTAGCATCCATGGTGATTATTTATAGTCGTCCAATGTCAAAACTGAGACGGTAAGCTAACCAAGCGAACCCGTTGTTTTCGCAGGAACGACCCGATCGAGGTCTCGCTGAAGGCCCTCAGTCTCGACAACGAGATGTGCCGCAGCCGCATGATCTGCGAGCTCCAGACCAAGCTGACCTCCTACAGCATGGGAGACCTTGTCTACGAGGTTATCAAGTAAGTTCAGTCTGAGTTTTGGAGGTGATTCATCGAGGTGAAACATTCGTTGCCACATCCAGACGCATAAAACTCATAATTGATTTCATTTACCTATGTAGTAATTTTTTGTCCATAATCATGACGTAACGAAAAAATATATCTAAACATGAAACTTGAAAGAGCTCAGGAATTTTCGAACCTTGCCACATATGTTTTCCGGCCCGGCATCTGACATCCCCTCTCCGCTCCGCCAGGCGCAAGGTGCCCAAGCTGAAGAAGTACGGCGTGGTGACGGCCCGCGACCTGGGCGCCCAGAGCTGCTTCGAGGTGTTCCCGTGCCGCGCCAGCAGCTCACCGCTCATGGACAACGCGCGCCACCTGCGCAGCCTGGTCGAGGACTTCTGCGACCTCAGCGGCAAGTCCTACACCTCCTCCTTCTGCCGCGGCATCAAGTTCGCCGTCGACCGGCTCGAGTCCTTGTAAGCGGCTCTGTCGGAGAAGAGGCTGTAGGCTAGGAGAGACGAGTCACTGCAGAGCCGAGGGCGCCGCGCGCTCGACCACTCTGCGGGTAACATCGCGGGGTCGAGCGAGCTGCCTGGAGACTGGCGGATCGAGTCGACTCCTCTGTTGTTCAGACGGGTGCATTTGGTAACAGTCAGTCAGAGTGCTGCCAGATGTGGCTAGCTGGTGCCTGACGGCGCCCGGTAAGCCCGTCGTGTTGTTGGAATCTCATTGTTATATTTATTTCCCCTCACTATCCACCTCTGCTCATGTGTTATATCTACTGTTGACTACCTTTCACGTCAAGGGACGGTGCCGCAGTCAAACAACATCGTGTTTGCTATTGTCCCTGTGTGAAATGTGTCTTACTAATGTCAGCAGTGCGCAGTATGAATAAAACACATAAAGAAGCCGAGCGTTTATATGGTAAATGACGGAATACACAAATACCGCCAAAATAATAAGGCAAAAGAAGTGAGAAAAACGGCAATCACAAAATGCCAGGCTACAAGTTATGTAATTTCGTGTTCATGCAACAATTGTGACGAAGAAAGCCAGAGGCTTGTCGAGATGCGAGCATTCAACAGTGGCATAAGCACACCAAACAAACCATACCGGCTTTAGTGGCCCGCAAACCCGCGGCGACTGCAACGACTAGAAGAAAGATATCACCAGGCGACTGAATACTGTGCCGCAGCACAGGAAACTGCAATGCGACACACGGGGAGAGCTAGGCGTCGCAATCCGTCTGCGCCATCATCCCCAAGCAGAAAGGAAACTCAGCTATCCTGCTTTGATAATCATGTAAGGGACAACGATACTGGATAGTGGCGTATACGAAACAGGACCAAATATTTGTAGGCCGAGGAAGGATAACAACAATCACAAATGCAGATCTTGATCACTGATTTCTGCCTTAGTCGCCGATGTCCTCGCACGTTGCCCCATTTTCAGTAAGAGGGTCAGTTGACATCACGTTGCCGGTATTTGACCGGTCAGGGTGGTTGGTTCTCTCCAGGTCGTCGCGGCCGCCGAACCGCGCCGGCCCCGGTCCGGTCACGCAGGAATTCAGACCGACAGAGCCAGTTTTTGCCGGACCGGTTAATAAGGCAGACAGCGCCCCACTAACGGATATGGGTCAGCGGTGATGCTCGGAAACTGGAAATGATGATTTCTCTATAAGTTTTTGTTTATATAAGGTTCACTCAGTAATATCGTAAGCATGAAAGTGACAACAAATAGTGCTGATGCTGACTGGTCGTGTATGAACACATGTCTCAGAACGTTTCAATGATTTAAAATGTACTTTGCAAATAGAAAAAAAAACGAATTTAAAGATACGAAAGCCTTGAAGCTTTCGCAAACATCAGCCACATTTTCTTTTTCAGGATGAAAGGTGGATAACATTGGATGACATTTGACGGGAAGAAATGTAGCTTAGTGATGTCACGAGATTTATAGCTCAGACGTACAGAAAGTCGAACGGTCCGCGTCCACAGCCGCGCCTAGAAATCGCGCTCAGCTGGTTCAGCTGATAATGCAGTTGATATCAAGGTTGGTATTAGGGAGTCTTTCTTATGAAATTGACGTAATAGCAATTCTAGATGCACCGTCACGACTGAGACGAAGATTACAGGATAGGACGCTGTAAAACTTGCTTGGTCCAAATACCCGCTTTGCGTATTGTTTTGGACTTAAAACACGCATACGTAACGGTTGAAAGATGTACACACATTTATAGGCTCATCGGTATGCTTAAAGTAATTGGCTGTTGATTTTCTTTGATTTTCTTCAACACTCTGAGAAACATCATTTTTAAGCTCCTCCCCTCAAAAATCAAAATGCCTGGTGGAAGAACTATCTTACCTCCGGTGAAGAACATGAAGATAACTCAGTACGAAGACGTAGCTGCTGCCGCCGCCAGCTCAGGGGAAATCTACATCATCGCATCCGATGGCGTGGTCATCGATCCGGAAAGTTCAAAGTTTGCGCTCAATGAAGACCCCGAGAATGAGAGGTTCATGAAGCTGCCGTCTATTCCAGAAGTAAATAAAGTCAAAACGGATGACGAAAAGTCAGCCGAGAGCAGCGCAGCTCCCAAATGGAACCCCGCGCAGGCTCAGCAGAGCGCATCCAGCACAAAAGCTGAAGAACCTATTACGGTCGAGGAAAAGTAAGCATTTTTGTTTATTTTAATAAAAAACTTTGACATTCAAGTGCCTTCCAATTTGATAGGTTTTGTCCAACGTGGGTAGTTTTAGGCCTGGAACCTGTCAAACGCCCCCCAACCACGCAGCTCGTGTCGTTAAGACCTTGCACCTTGTCTTGAACTAAAGCCTAATGGCTAACATACAGAAAACTCAGTTGATTCACGCTTTCCCATTGAATTTACTTACCTTTCCTTTCAGAGACGAGTGTGCATTGGAAGATGACGAATACGAGAGCTCGCTATATCATGTAACCAAAGAAAAGAGACGGTTTCTGTACTCTGCTTTGGTCGTGGTGTTTGGCCTGATAGCACTCGCTATAATCTATGGTAAGCATGGAAGTGAACATCCTCTTTGACATTACCAATATGTGTATGCCTGTTTGAACCAAAAGGAAGTGATAGACTGAATCATTGAAGCAGACATCCTCTTTTTACAGCTGCTGTGAAGTCTGCATACGAAGTGCCCCCCAGCTGACAACACATGAAAAGGGGAGCGATACTCAGTGGGAAGCGGCGTGATCGTTTGTGAATGTAAATATCTGTCGTATGAGATGTTAGAGGAGCATACGTACATTTAGGAGAAGTGCATATTTAAAAAGACAGTGGAATTGCTTCGTTTGAAAATGCCTTAAAACAAAAAGTTACACATGAATGCTTTACCTACCTATAAACTATTCATCAGAATCAAAAATAAGGTCATTAAGCTAACAAAAGCTGAAGATATCACGACAAAGATGGAATCATAGCATGTCCAAGACGAGAAGAATACAGAATTGCCCACCACACTGTTAGGCCTGGTAGCGATATCAACCGTTTCAAAGCTACGAACGTTTAATTCGAAGCCTTCGTCGTCACAGTCAGCAGTCACGGGTCCTGTACCTCCTGTCTATTCATCCTTCCAGTCAAGTGGGAAAGAAGCCCACTTCCGCGGCGCAGTGGCGCTGGGAGGTGACCTGCTGACCCGCGGTCCCCGGCGGCACCCTAACGGTCCAGCTCGCGGCCGCCCGACCGCCCGTCGAGCCGATCGGCACCTGATCAGGACGGCCCGTCACGCAGCCAGCGTCACGTCACGGGACGCAGCCCGGCGACACGTCCCGGACGGAGGACAGAGCATACGTCGCAGGGCAGAGGGGGTGGTCGACCAGGGGTGCTGGATCGGGAGAGTGGTGGGGGTTTAAGGGCAAGGGGCGATGATAAATGAACAGATCGTTGCTGGACCGGTCTGTGATTTTATTTAGAGAGAAGAATATGCGTCTGAAATGTTTTAAAAACAAACGGCCTCACCCATCTCATAAAACTAAGTGGCTATCCACTGTTTGGAAGCTGTGAATAATTTAAATGTGAATATGTTATATATTCAAATTCAGAAGTTACCATTTATCTAACGGTGGTCTTTAAAAACCTACGGCGCATATAAAGGTACCGTATGGTACTTAAATAAGGCTGCCCCCATGAGTAGGCGGTAATTATTTGTTAAATTCCATTGTAGGTACTACGTTTAAATGTTATTGTTAATTTAGTTGACGCTCGTAACATTTGAAGATGAAGAAATAGGTACGAGTTCCCCTGAACCTATAAGCTGTATAAATTTGGAGTGAAAGTTGTCAAGAATGATGCAGTGCTGGCTGAGTTGGGTTCATTCAAATCGTTCAATGCCCACATTGTTCCAGGCAATTGAACAAACACATGGGTGGATCCAGAACGACAGTCTCAGACGCTGCAGGGGGGGGGGGGAGAGGGCTGCACACCTAAGATGCAAACATTCGAAATCGAAAACATTTCTTTCAATTCCAAGACCTCATTGGATTTCGATTTTTGTGCACTGCTCTGCAGCTTGCAGCAAACTCTTCCTCATGCAAGTTGTTAAGTTTTCTTTCTGTTACAGAAAAACGAAAAATTTTCATCGAATTTACCCCACATGCCCCCTTTGGATTCGGAGGTGAACAAACAATCCGCACATTCTGCTTTGGTTCTGATTGCCAAGCTGATTACAATGTAAACGTAAAGGCTGAACGAGTCATCAGTTCTGGTTGCTATGGTAACGGTATTGACTATCAACAACGCTGTGTTCCCTGGCTGTGTTCATGCTTGGTTCGCTTGGTTCGCTTAGTTCTGCACCGTCTCTGACTCTCTACAGGCGCTACGACTGCCGTGTCGCGCTTTCCGCTGCTCACCAAGTCTTGGTTGAGCCTTTTCAGGCATTCTGATGTAAGTGGAAACGGAGTTTAATAGTGAAAAAATCGATTCCATCATTATTTCCTTCTGCACATTGTGAGATCTACGAGACACACAAGGTTGGTGCTTCTCTTTCGACACGGTTGGTGCGGAATCAAATCCTTTCATTACTATAATTATTAATTAGTCTACCAGTAATAAGCGAGATGGTATACGGTAGCTATTTGGCCCCGGAGTACCGGGATGGCGCGGCTATCGAACGAAGAAGATGCTCCGAAGACCTGCGAAAGAATGCAATATTTAATGCTAAAAAGCGCACCATAGGCTTAGACCTACCAGCATTGAATCGCCAAGTTGATCTGAATAACGAAAAACGAATGCGGGACCAGCAACGAGATGAAGCGTACGAACGAACTGTGCTAAAAGGAGACTATTTAGCTCAGCTAAAAGAACGAGACGAGTGCCGTTTGAAGAGAGCCCTCCAAATTGAGCAAAACATGTTCAGAGCTGAATATCAAAGACCGGATCAAGCCCGTGAGTTCGACCTAAATGACCCCGATTATGTGAAACACTTCAATAATATTGATATGAAAACTGGACCGCCTGATGGTCCATTCGCTCTGGGAAAGGATGAGCGACCAATGAAAATTGCCCATAAAAAGGCTCAGATGGAGTGGGAGAAGCAGCTCAGCGCGCAGTTAGCCGAAAATAAAGCGGCCAAATGTCAGCAAGAAGTCGCTGATAGCATTGAAGTCCGAAGACAGCGAGAATTAACGGCGAAGACAATTGCTGCTGAGCAAGCAGAACAGCAGTGCAGGACAGCAGTTAAAAAGGTAAAAGGGCGATCATTCGATGGCTGCGAGACATGAAAGTAATCGTGTTTCTGTAAGGATTCTTCATTCTTGAATATGCTTCAGAAACCTTTTCAATTAACGTTCGTAATAACGTATTCACAAACAAATAACAGTCATTGTCTGTACAGATAAACGTTAACGTATATGGTAAACATAGCGCCTATAGTAAAACGCCTTTATGAAAACCCTAAATGTCGTTGAGTGATATTTCGATCAATAGCAATCATTTAATCTTTTCACTAAAATCCATACCTCATAATTGAATCTCATATTCGTTCACGTGCTGTACAGCGTTTCACTTATAACATCTCTGGCATGTCGCTGCATAGCGCTGCACAATGTACTCGTACATGTTCAGCGAGCGACCAGAGTCACCAATCAATCTCGTCCCCCGGTAGACCAACTCGGAGATAAACCAGGCGCTGGCGGTCGAGCGCCGGCAGACGGAGGAGGCGCAGCGCCAGCACGAGCTCGAGGACAACAGGGCCGAGATCCGGAACGCGCTGTACGGCGACTTCCTCACGGAGACGCCACACGCCGCCATCTCGTCACTGGGCTCGCGGCGCGTGCAGGTGGACCGCTACAAGGGCCTGCTGCCCGAGGAGCGGGCGCGCCTGAAGCACGAGCAGCTGCGGCAGCTGGAGGAGGACCGGCGCCGCCAGCAGCTGCAACGGCAGGAGCACGAGCGCTGGGAGCAGAAGACGCTGGCGCAGGCGCGGCTCGGCGTGCTCAAGGACCGGCAGCAGGGCCGCACGGAGAGGCAGCTGCGAGAACAGCTGGCCCAGGAGAACCAGCGGCTCGCCATGGAGCAGCAGAAGAAGAGGGAGATGTTCGACAAGCACGTCTACACGAACGTGCCGTCTGAGGCGTTCTTCAGCCAGTTCAACACCAGCACCAGATAGAAAGGCATGTTGACGCCAAAGCTGAATGCATAGGCCGCCTGAATATGACACCGTTTTACAAGCGATTTAAAACAGCGCCACTTCGCTGAGTTGGTGCTCAATTCATTATATGCGAATAAACATCTCTTAAAAAATTGTCCTTTGTTAATAAAGTTGTGTGAATGTCTCGCTTTCTTTGGGCAAAATACATGATTATTCGGCTTAACTGTTTGTATTTAAGCGCGGATTGCCGTTCCCGTACCTAATGTTTATGTAGTGGTAGTGAGCGGGAACCCTTGGGCGAGCCTAAGCAAGCAAGGGCGGGCGCCTGAGCCATTTTGGAGGAGGCCCGGGGCCGGGGCCGGGAGAAATTTTCGCAGAAGTCCATCCCCACAGTCTAAGCATGAAACAAATATGTCTTTTTTTTTAACCCTCGCCGGCACAGGCCATTTTGAGTCCTTCGACGGCACAAGGGGGGGGGGTTGGTACGACCCCCCCTCGCGTTTGGCCCCTGATCGAGCTAGAGCTTCGCGGAAAAAACGAGCGTATTGCCCGTCACGAGAGGAAGCTGATGATACCCAATTTTAAGGTCCTAGGTCATCGGGTGACCTTCCAGGTCAGGTCAATGACCCGAAAACCGGGAAAATCGGGACCTGTTAGAAAGTCGTAAAGTGTGGCTGTTATGTGGTTTTCCGGGGTGCTGATCACGAATATCGTGTTAGTTTTGATCAGAGATGATGTCTTTAAGCATTTAGACCAGGTCGGGTCAGGTCAGGTCAGGTCAACCGGTAGGGGTTGTGACGGGTATTCGTAATACGTGTCAACCGCCTCGGACAGCTTCGTAACATGTTATGAAGGCACCAAAACTACTTCGTAAATGTTCAAATGGTTGCTAAATTCGAATTCAGCTCCAAAAACTAGCCTAGAAACATGTAAAACTCGAAAAGTGAACCGAGGTCACCCGAGGTCACCAAAGGTCAATGACCTGACCTGACCTTCAGGTGACCTTGACACCCACCCTAATGCATGGGAGCAACATCAAATCACATGTTTGATTGAACGTTTGAAACCACGAAAAGCTTGCAAACGCGCGGCTAATGCGAGCCGACATGCGCCGGACCGCGATTTCGGCCAAACATGGTCACAGAAAAGAGGTCACAGGTCAAAGGTCATTGGGGTCAGGGTCATGAAATTTTCAGGGTAGGTGTAAAATTGATCAATGCGGAGGTACTGAAAGTTTCGTCGCGATCGGCCGCTTTGTACGTGAGTTATTCGCGAAAAACCTTAGGGGGGGGGGGTTGCATCAACCCCCCCTGTGCCGGCGAGGGTTAATACCTTTGCTTACTGCAATCGTAAACCTTTCGCTTCGAGCTGCAGTGCACTGTTCGACATGATAAATTCAGCAGGCAAAGTTCATTATCTTTCTAGTTGAGGTTTATTTGCCATTGGGTGTACAGTGCAGGGATATTTCTATCTCGCACTCCTCTGAGATGCAGAGATAAGAAATTGTTATCTCTGCATCCCTCTGAGATGCAAAGATAAGGTCTCGAGGGTTCATAGCGAAAAATCAAGAGTTCAAGTGATGATGGGTCAATAACCGAACGACGTTTTTAATGGTTGTTTATGGATGAAACTTATGAAATAAGAGCAAACTACTCTGAATCTATTTTTACATAGATGCATGCATACCTACATTTAAATATAATATTTTATTAATCAAGAATAAACCTCAACATAGAAAGATATAGGATTCCTCATGGCTCACTCGTGGAAGATAGGATATCTTTTCCTCGCGTGTTACAGAAAAACCTCGCTCCTTCGTCGCTCGGTTTTTCAGTAACCCGCTTGGAAAAGATATCCTTATCTTCCACTCGGAGCCATGAAGAATCCTCTATATCATTTTCACTTATTTATTTTATTTGTTAACTTTTTTATCCAGGAATCAGGATAAACTATTTTAGCGGCATGCTACGTACATACAGCGTCATAAGCGCAGAAGTCAGAGCGTCACTAGCTAGGTACTGGGTAGTTTTTGTCATTTGTCCATTTCAGATCCATGGTCTATGGACCATGTCGATATCGATGTTCGATATTTTCAGCCTTTCGAGTCTTTTGAGCAATGCTCATTGATCAGTGCTCACTGCTAGAGATGTGTAACCATAAACCATTAGCCATGCTTTCTCACTAGCCACTCCCATAACCCCGCTAAGGTTTTCATGCCCCTTCCATTTGTTGATATTGCATTCGCGGTAGCATTACGTCACATGCACATTCAGCGGGCGCGCTGCCCGGCCCATGCCTGCAGCATGACGTCACTCACCCCAGCCAATGGCGGCGCTGGGCCCTCCGTCGGAGGCGCCCCCGCCTGCCGAATCACGTGCGTCGCCAGCTGGCCGGCGCCGTCCGAGATCGATGTCGATCGCGACGGGGCGGTTAGCGCGGCTCGTCGGCCGGGCCCGGGTCCAGACACCCGTGTGACCGGTGCCGACCCGCTCAGCTGCGCACCTCCCGGCCAGACAGGTCAGGCGGCTGTCTGGATCGCTGTGGGTGACCAGTCGGAGGCTGCGCCGCCGGAGGCGCGTCGGTCGGCGGGCGGGGGTGCAAAGGCGTGCGTGCGTCGATTGGTGAATCACCCTTTGTGTGACTCAATTTCGACCCCGCCCAGTGACAGTGAGCGCGGCGGTGCGACCGTCAACTCCAGTCTTCGTCGGACCGACCGGCACGTGCAGCACAACTGGTCAGTGCCCGAGGCGGTGGCCACGTGATCGGACGCGGCTCGCGTTGCCGTGGTAACGGGCGGCGTCCTGCCATCTGACCGGCCGGCGCGGCGGGACGTGGTCACGGGATGAGTGGCGGTACTCTGGGCGGTACCATGAGTTGCGTGTACCCACTACTGCGGTACATTCAGTGCGGGCCGGCTGCAGGGGGTGAGTGGGAGCCGCTCCCGTCAGCGGCTCCGGGGCCGACCCAGCGGAGCCGCTCCGCTGGAGGAGTGGTGGTGGTATCAGCGGCAGGCCGGCTGTTCCTGCCGTATGCCGACGTAGCTGCAGACGGCAGGGTCCGACTGAGCATCTGCGCTGGTGAGTACAGTACCCCGGGGGAGAGGGAGAGGTCAGTTGGGGAGAGGGAGCGGTCAGCTGGAGAGAGGGAGCCGTCAGCCAGGGAGAGACAGCTCGGTCATCTGGGGAGAGGTCAGCTCAGCCGGTCACCGGTCGACGCCCGACGCGACGGTCACCTACCCACCCGGGCGCACGGAGGCACGTGCGTTGTGAGTGGATGAATGCTAAAAGAGATAATCTCTGGATGTAACTGCTCTGCGTCAGCCTTCCGCCACGGATTTCCGTTGGGGGATTTGTCCTTTTGCTTTCCTGCTGGGCGACGATAGTATAGCAGGAAACGGCGATAACTTCAAAATTCAAATGTTAGGCACAACACCACGAAAGCACTTCGGTCATTTTGCTTGTGTATGGGGTATGTGAGATGATGGATGAGTGGGTGGGGGAGGGGGTGCTCAGGTTTATTAGCCTGCGTAAGCCGATCCCGTAGATCAGTCGTTAGAGCGTTGGACTCATGTGGTGAGAGCACGCGTCTCCGGTTCCAAAAGTCCGGGGTGTGAGGAGGCACGACAGGCGCTCGAGTGTTGATCCGAAGTTATAAAGTGCACAAATAAATAGGTACCTACCGCGCGAGACGACTTATAATAATGAAAAGAAAGTTGAAAAGTGAAATCAAGAGCAATAACTATATTTTCAGTTGGCCAGACTGTTAATGCCTAGGTACCTATTAACCTTCCAGGCGGGGGGGGGGGGGGGCATTTTTTGCTCCCCCTTTAGTTTTTTCAATATATCTCCAGAACCGCTGCGCCGATCGTCACCAAACTTTCGGTACCCTCCCGTGAATAGCTATTGCACATTGTGACCAATTTTTTCCAAAGGCTATGATAGGTTGGCCGCTAATGACGTCAGAGTGACGTCATTTCTGCCATTTTCGACAAAAAAGGTTTCGCGGGAAGAGCTGTCAGGCCTACAGCTTTAGAGATACAGAAAAAGGTTTCGACATAAAAGATGTATGTAGAATCAACAGGGATACAAAACTGCTACCTCGGATTTTTGATTTTTTTTTATTTTGACCCCAAAAATGAAAAAATAGATTTTTTGAATATAACAGCCAAAAAATCCAAAAAGTTTTTTGATTTTCGAAAAACCGGAATAGGGATAGTCCCTATCGCCTTCTATGCACATACCCAATTTGAGATCGATACCTCTTTTTTGGCCAAGTTATAGCGAAAAACTGTTCAAAATTGATGACGTCAAATTTTCAAACTCAATTTTTAGCAATTCTTTACCTGGAAGCGCAAAAAAGACCACCATTAGACTCCCCGTGGGCCGTGACGAGCTGCATTGAATCGATACCCATTTTATGCAAAACTATCAACTTTGAAATTTGACCTTTTTTGACCTGACCTTGACCTGACCTCCACCAGAAACTGACCTAAACCGTACCTGATGGTCTTATAACCAACACCATCGAGTTGGAAATGAAAAATTGGCCATAAAACATGCATCGCACAACCTTAGTAAAGTTGGGTTCATGTGCTGACCTTTCGTGACCTGACCTGTGACCTGACCTGGTATTATCAGTGACCTCTAATAGCATCATATGTACTAGGCAACTGACGCCCTATAGTTGATTTTCGACAAAATGCGTTTTACTCGGTGTTATAGTGTATTCCCTAGAAGACATGTGAACGATGAAACACTTTATCTTTGATCTGACCTGTGACGTCATCGGTGACCTCGAGGTCAATGAAATTTGGTTTCCCACAAATTTGACAGGGCTATCGAACGCTGTTTGAATTTTGCGGGGGGGGGGGTTAAAAAAATGCCCCCCGCGCGGAAGGTGGCTGGGAGGCCCACCGCCTGCCGGGTTAACTAAGTACATATTAACCCTCGCCCCGCTGGGGGGGCATATGGCCCCCTGTGGTTTTTCCTGAATAGCAAGAAAACGGCGGCGCGCAGCGCCTCCAAATTTTCGGTACTTTCCCGGGCATCAATTTGACACCTTCTCACAAAATTTAAAGTATTAGGTCGCCTTGGGTCAGGAGTTATTGAGATTTAACTGAAGTCATGTTCGAGCAAAAATGAGCAAAAATCATGAAATTTTGAAACACTCACAAAAGTTAGGGGAAGCCGGGGGAAGCCCGGCATAGTAAGCTCTTTTTCATTTTTATTACATACCATACGTGCTGTATAAAATGTTGATATCCTGTTAACTAGCTAAGTTCATTGGCCGTGTTTTCCCAAAAATTCGGTTTCGTGGAATAAGTATAAGGTTGAGAAAATCGAGTTTTAAAAAAGTGTTGATTTTTCTGGGGTAAGCCCGGCATAGGGGTAACGCCGGCCACCTCCCCAGCGCTTTACAACGAGTTAATGAAACCATAATGTGTCTTCCAAATATTAACGGAAAGTGAAATATTAACCCACGCCCCACTGGGGTCTGTGTATAACACGCCCTACTGGGGGGGGGGGGGGGGCTATTCATAGCCCCCCCTCCTAACTCCGAAACTACTGGGCTGATCGTCAAAATTCAAACGGCGTCTGATAGCCCCGGAAAAACTGTCGAGCGAAACCTAATTTCATTGACCTCGAGGTCACCGATGACGTCACAGGTCAGGTCAAAGTAAAAATTATTAGCACTTTGGCTTGTTCACATTTTGGGCTCTGGCCGCCGTCTTACAAGTCAGATCAGGCTCATTTTTGGTTTCCACACTCGTGAACAGATGCTCTAGATACCTTGAGGGTACCAAACTTGTACTTTGATTTTCAGGTCAGGGTCAGGTCATCACAGGTCACGAAAATATTATATCATGCGTCGGTCACGTGACACATGTTTTATGGTCCATTTAGGCCATAGATTTCGAATTTGATGTCGTCTATGTCATTCGAGGTCATTTTGAGTCGAATTTAGCTTAGGTCACGTCACTTTCAGGTCAAAAAATGTCAAATTTTGAAGTTGAAATTTTTCAACAAAAAAGGTGTCTATTGGATGCAGTTTGAGCTCAGGAACACGATGGTGCCTTATATTGGTGTACGATGCCAAATACGTACTGAAAAATTGATTTGAAAAATTAATAATTGTGAATTTTTTGCAATAATGCGTATAACTTGGCCATTTTTGAATATATTTAGCTAAAACTTGCTAGAGTTAGTCATAATCATGCGTTCTGTCACATATATTCCGGTATTTTCGAAAAGTCAAAAACTTTTTGAAAAAATATAAAAATATAAATTTTGAATATTATTTTATAAAATTTTCGAAATTTTCAAAATTTTGAAAATCCGAGATAGCAGTTTGATAGCGCGGTCAATTCTGAGTTCTTTCATGCAAAGAAATTGGATCTAGCTTAAAAACTGAGCTCTTGGGAGCGATTGCCGTGGTTCAATGTTTTGCGTCGAAATCGGACGAACATGACGTCACTCTGACGTCATTTCCGGCCGACCTTTGGTAGCTACGAAGTTCAAATTTTGACACAAGGTGTCAAATTGATGCAGCCGAAGGTACTGAAAGTTTGGCGTCGATCCGTCAAGCGGTTTGGAAGTTATTGCAGAAAAACGGGAGGGGGGGCTATAAATAGCCCCCCCCCCAGTGGGGCGCAGGTTAAGGTACTGATTAGCTCTGGACATCTTAGAGTTTATGGCACTACTGGTATTTTAGCTAGCGTCTACCACATATACAGTACAGGTCGATGAAAATCGTGATGCAAAATTGACAAAAAATGTGTATTTCAAAATTCCTTAAAATTTATTTTTCTTTTTACCTTAATGCATCATATTGCATATCATTCGACTCGGCTGATGAAGAAGAACACAACGACACCATTTTTGAAGCTCTAGCTTCATTGTCTGTCGCGTTATCTGCAAAAACGTAGTTTGACCCTAGTTGACCTTAAGTGACATGACTGGCTTTGTCTATGATAACATGTTTATTTTCGAAATTTATCTTTGATCTAGGTGTAAACCAAACCTGCTCAGTACCTATTACCTCATGGAAAACAGTGGTTTAGTGGCATTGCTCTCGGTTGGGGGTAAGCTTGGCCACTCGCCCGAGGTTACCCCAATGTGCTAATTTTTATTTTAGAACAGCGATATTCGAAAAAATGTCATACTTAAGCCAGCCTGCCTCGTCACCCCTCACTACAAACACTTAAACGGTCCTTACATAACATTCGTATAACTATTAGTACTGTATGGTATAACATTACCAGTGCAACATATCTCACTTTTTAGCTAAAAACCCTTAAAATATCATTTTTGCGCTATAACTTTAACAATATGCAATTTTTGTTAGCCTTAACTTGTTTGTTGGCGTTACCTTAGCTGCCACGCTGAAAGGACAAACAGTTGAGCATTTTATTGTGAATAATTTAGCCGGAAACGGGGTGGCCGGGCTTCCCCCGCGCCCGGGCTTCCCCCGGTTTCCCCTAAAGTTGACAAGCAATTTCAAAGTTCTTCATGTGGTTGTTTAGAGAAAAGACGGCGCTACGATTTCCAGGTCGAATGTCGACAATTTCCAAGAAGCCAACGCATAACTCTAAACTCGGGAACCAATAGAGCTATAGCGCCGCGGAAAAGCGCATTCGATAGCCCGCCCCTATTAACGCCCTTTCTGAGCGATTCTCTCAGATTTGACCTAACGTCAACGGTTTTGCCTGCAGGGGGCAAAAACTGCAAAAATAGCCATTTTTTTCGGAAACAGTTTTTCTGCAATAACTTTTGACCCAAGCCTTGTACGAGCTTACTTTTACCGGCATCGTGTTCCTCTCGTCAAGACGCATCGAATGAACTATAACTTGACCTTGAAAGGTCAACTTGAAAATTTGACCTCAGGTCAAGGTCATGACCTGACCGGAAAGGGTCATGTTGCATATCAGTCGATCCGTATCGTCGAGCTGAACACAGCTAAGGCGTTTTCATCGCTCTAGCATGCCTCTATCAAAAGTTATTTGCGAAAAACTGTTAGATGCCATTCGTGACCTAAGATGACCTCAGGGCATAAACAGGGGTCACTGACACCATTTTCA